TCAGCATGTTTCGGTATAGCCTACTCGGATTATCAAATTACTAGTCCCGCACAGTCTTGCAACCCAGATGTTGTTTTGCTTCAGCTTGTGAGTTGCAAAACTTACAAAACTATCAATGCAAAAAATTGGACTTGGGTGTAGCCAACCCGAATACAGTGATGCTCCTAAGCCTTGTGATGATGCTGGTGATAGTAATGGCAGTGATGATGCGGATGGAAGATGATAGTCGTGTCGATGGCAATGGCAGGATGTATCGTGACCAACACCCTATTCTGACTATTAAGGCACCTGCAGCAGTGGGGTTCCCATCCTCAACCCGTAGAGCACCCCCACACGGCTGGGCCACCGGATGCCTCGGAAGTGGCCGGAGCCATGGCTGTCGCGAATGACGCTTCGAACTTGGACTTTGGGTGAACGAGGCTCTTATGAAGAGCAGAGGGTCTGGGTTCTCTTGGGGTAGCTACTGTATGCTACAGTTCCATTGTGGATAAATCTTAAACCCTATACCCCGAAGTGTAAGGGGATGTGTGAAAAGAGTAAAGCTCAGGGAAGACCAGTCCTGAGCATGGCTTGAGTGGTGCTAGGCGTCTAGGGGTTTAGGGTTTAGTTGGGCTTCCGAGGTAACCATAACAGAAACCTGAACCTTGAAACTCTAAACTCTGCCGTTGGGCTTTTGCTGTTTGGAGCTGAAACCTGCTGGTTTGGGAAAGTATGTCCCTTTGCTCTTCTGACTGATATTTCTCTACATCATCTTAACAACAAATTTCGCCCACGTGCCAAACCCCAACAGCCTCCCGGCCGGCGTTGGCGCAATATTTGTTGCGTATCCTCGAGTTCATCCTCACAGGATTTGAATTTAATTACGTGTCTTGTCTTTTCCGCGGCAAGGAGGCTCTTCGTTGCACTTTTCCGCTCACTTCCAGGAAGTATCTTCGTACCTTTTGAAGTTGATACCTTTCGGCTTCACTGGTCATCACTATTGATGAACTGAGCATGGACAAATATAGACGAATACGTAGTAGTAGTGGTAGTAGTAGTAGTAGTAGTAGAAGTAGTAGTAGAAGTAGTAGAAGTAGTAGAAGTAGTAGAAGAAGAAGTAGTAGTAGTAGTAGTAGTAGTAGTAGTAGTAGTAGTAGTAGTAGTAGTAGTAGTAGTAGTAGTATCAGCAGCAGCAGCAGTAGTCGTCGTAGTCGTAGCCGTAGCCGTAGCCGTAGCCTGTAGTGTTAGTGTAGCAGTAGTAGCAGTAGTCGCAGTCGTGGCAGTGGCAGTAGCACCAGCAGCAGTAGTTAGAACTGATGAGGGTATTGCTTTCGCTTTCCAGGGTTCTTGGGATAGAGGACTCTTACGCGAGGCTGAAAGCGGCAGAGATGGTGCCACATGCTTCCGATTGCGGGCTTGAACGGGGGTTCGGCCGGGCAAGCTAGACTTAGAGATCAGAGACAGCTTAATGTTCTTAGGAAGGATGCCTTAATTCTACTATGGTTATAATATAGGGGATTAAGAAATGGGTCAAGCATCAGGGTTCTGAGGTTTCGGGCCGTTTGGGGTTTAGGGGTGTAAGGGTGAGCCGTTATAGGGAAAGCCTCGGTTCGATGTCCGCCATTTCGGGGCGCATGCTAAGCGACCTTACATCAGAAGCCTTAAGCCCCAAAGCCTATACCCCAATCAGAAGTCAACCCTTATGCGCATGCACCCTCTGCAGCTTTGTAGACGCAGTTTCCCTGGGTTCGGCGGATGGGATTTTCACAAAACTTGCGATCCTAACTAGTTTGGCATCCTTATTATCACTTGAGGATCCTAAAGGACCCCAAATAAGGAAAGTCTTGTGATGAATGCGCCATTTACAGTATCCTGGCAGAACCCCAGACTCCCTGAAAAAGAGCTCGCCTTCTACGCTTGTACAGCTGCAGCGTCTTGAGAAGGCTACGGCTCTTGGGCTTTGTGGTTTCGCGCTTTGGGCTGTGTGTGCCCTTTCGAAGCCCCGACTTGGCAGCCAACTTTCCACTCCTGTCTCTGGAACCTGGAAGCGGAAGATGTATCGTTTAAGACTCCAGGACCATGCCCAATATTTTGAGATCTTTATGGCCTTAGGGCTTTAGGGTGTGTGATGTTGAGTTACGAAAACACCACGGTTGTTGTGTTATTGATAGATGTCCTGCGATAGACGCCTGAATGCATACCAATACTATTCCTCAGAGTTCCTACAATGTTTGTAGTATACATCTACCCCCCCAGACCATATTCTACTTATCAAGGCGCCCCTAGTAGTCGAGATAGCAAGAGGACTAGGGACCAGAATCCCATCACTGCGAGAAGCCAGCCCGCCTAGATAATCTTGCACTACTGTTGATGGTATAAATCCTGCATTACACATAATAAGGAATTTACCATAATTCCCATAGTTTAGGGTCCTTAAGGTAATGCAGGATTTTTATCATCAACCGTAGTTACAGCAAGGTTTAGCCTTTCGGGGCTAGGGTTGCGGGTTCAGGGTTTAGGCAAGGTTAGGTAGAGGGATCCATCATGCGTAGAAGCAAGAATCTTTACCGAGCTCCCCGTTTACCCGAAACAGTGCACACACTTTAAAAATTGAAGTATACCCCGTAAAGTTGGAAACCGGAAGTGCTGGGATTCCCTACACATTACTCTTAAGGATTGAGGCTATGGGGTTTCCAACTTATGGGCTTCTACTGTAACCTACCAACACTATCCCACCGGTCCATTTATGCACACAGTGTGCTCCATCTCACGACCTTCTGCCGTAGGAAAGATGGAATGTGAACGGCTTATCCCCGCAACCGGACCTGCACAAGTCCATGCTTGAAAGATCATGAAACCTCGTAACTAGGGTTATAAATATAGTTTTTGCTATTTATGACCCCAATTTAGGCACTTATAACCCTACTTACTAAGTCCCCTGATCCCCAAAGTACCCCGAGGCCCAAACCCTCAACTGGAACCCCCGACCTCCCGCGCCTCATGCACGGCTACTTGGAGGGCAGGGGACTTAGTAAGTAGGTTATATGTAGGGTTATAATTTGGGTAACCCCATTTAGGGTACTTATACCTCTACTTATAACCTACTTACTAAGTCCCGTGCCCCTCCAAGTAAGGGTTTGACGCTACGCAGGTTAATGGAGAGCTCAAAGTCATAAGCACATCACCTGTGGCTCTACGCACCACGAAGCTGGTTACCTGCAGTCTCTTACCTGGAGTATCACGGGACTTAGTACGTAGTGAGCACCTTAATTTGGGTAAAAACTAATAAGACCATAGTTGCCTCATGTATGACCACAACCCTACCTGGACCCCATATAACCTACCTTTTTAGGGTTCCCTAAAATGATTTCTTTATATGAGTCCATAGAAAGGTAGGTTTTTTGGGGTTATAAAAGGTAGTTACAAATAAAGTTCCTATATAGGGACCTCTGTAAGGCTTAAGTAACTACTATATGGGTACATGGAGCCTTCGGGTAAAGTTCCAAGATACTTGAAGTAACTTCCAGCCGCAGGCGGCAAACCCCAAGTCCAGCACCGAAGCTCTACGTCTGCTTTCCTCCCTCCTCCGGTTTAGGGTTTAGGGTTTAGGGTATTTAGGGTTTAGGGCTTAGTCTTTAGGGTTTAGCGTTTAGGCTTTAGGGTTTAGGGTTTAGTCTTTAGGGTTTAGCGTTTAGGGTATTTAGGGTTTAGGGTTTAGGCTTTACGGTTTAGGCTTTAGGCTTCAGGGTTTAGGGTTTAGGCTTTACGGTTTAGGATTTAGGCTTTAGGGCTTAGGGTTTAGGCTTTAGGCTTTAGGGTTTAGGCTTTAGGGTTTAGGGTTACCCTCCCGCCGTGCAGTCAGCGGAGAGAAAGGGCCGAACCGGTGCTCAAAATTCCACAAGCCTTGAGGCCTAAAAGCTATAGATCCGAGGCGGGCTTCAGCACTCCGACTCGGAAGGTTTGGGATGAAAGGATTCGAGGTTTAGGTTTTGAATTTAGAGTTTTACCGCTTAGGGGTTTCGGGATGTAGGGATGCAAATTTTGTTGGGGCTTTAGGAACCTTCAGGGGTTTAATCGAGGCCCCAAACTTGCAAGAGCATAAAGTCGTGAATGCAACCGCCTCACAGGGGATATTCCCTTCGCAAGTTTATGCTAGGTGCCTTGTAGACCGTAAACCCTAAACCCAAACCCTAAGCCCTTTAGGTATTGTAGGTACTCCGGCTCAGCGCTTCGTTTTCGGAATTATGGATATCGAGCATGGGCTTTGTGTCGCAGTTTCAGCGTGCCTCATGGCCAGTTGAAGATGCCCGTGATATGATTGAGGCCCCTTTTTTCGGATTTTGGATTTTTAGGGTTTACAGTTTAGGGTTTAGGGTCATTCCTTTGGATGCAGCATGAACAAAACAAAGAGTGGCGCGACTTTAGCAAACCTGGTGTGAACCCGGCTTAAGTCTTGAGGCCCAAACAAAAGCATAGGCTCTCAGGTTTAGGGTTTTTAGTCTAAGGTTTGTATATGAGGTCAGCAGGACTTGCGGCGCTCACGCGTGCAACATAGGGGCCTGAATGATTAGTGATTCTATTCCGGAGGTTTCCTGAGAATATATATATATATACATATTTATGTACTTGTTTATTTATTTACATGTATGTATATATGTATATGTAGTATAGAGAGATATATATCTCCCTCAAGATACTCGTACCGCAGAAACCTTGTTCTAGTTATGAAGCTAGCGTCGGAACTCATGCAGTTCATCGTGGCGCGAAACTTGCGATAACTCCTGAACCTCCAGCCCCGAACCAGGAGGTCTGAGCCTTTGAAACTAACTGTCCAGACTCCACCGTCAAATCCCGGCGAGCCTTGACTTGCCTAAGCCTTAAACCCAAACCCTCAAAGCCTTAAATTCTGAAGCCTTAACCCCACGCCCTAAACCCCAGAACCTAACCCTAAAGCCCTAAAGCCCTGAGCCCGAAGCCCTAAACCCTGAAACCGATACGAACACCGCCTGCAGCCGGAAGAGGCTGATACCCCTTCGCTCCTTGCAGCGGCTCTGCCGCCACGAGGCTATAATTTCAGGAGCCTAGCCCCGGGATCCGGGATTTGCAGCCCAAAATCCGAAACCAGAAATCCGAAACCCAAGCCCCAAACCCAAGACCCTGAACCTCAACAGCAAGCCTAAACCCTAAACCCCAAAATTCCTAAACCCTAAACCCAATACCCTAATGTTGGTTCAAGGCCCTTCGAGGATCTTTGACGGTTCTGGGTGTGGCTTGCCGTCGCAGTTCGATTGAAGTGCCTGTCACAGTCAAGATACAGAGAGACGGAGAGACAAAGAGATAGAGAGACACAGAGACAGAGCGGAGAGAAAGAGACAGAGAGAGGGAGGAAATAGAGAGCGAGCGAGAGCGAGAGCGATAGAGAGTGAAGTAGGCTGAAGTAGGCAATATATGTATATATGTATATGTATATGTATATGTATATGTATATGTATATGTATATGTATATGTATATGTATATGTATATGTATATGTATATGTATATGTATATGTATATGTATATGTATATGTATATGTATATGTATATGTATAGGTATATGTATATATATATATATGTATATGTATATGTATATGTATATGTATATGTATATGTATATGTATATATATATATATAACTGAGACATATATGCGCACATATGCATAGAGGGAGAGAGAAAGAGAGCGAGAGAGTGAGATTCAGAGAGAAAGAGCGAACACAGAGAGAGAGAGAGAGAGAGAGAGTCGAGCGTGTGTCTGTGTGTGCTGCATGTGGATATATGCGGGTATCTGCGAGTGCAGGTGCTCTCTATCTGTGTATTTGTCTATCTATCGTTCCCTCTGTCTGTCTTGCTTGTCTTTCTTTCTTTGTGTTTACCTGCGGTATGTATGTCCGCATGCATGCACGTATGTATGCATGTATGTATGTATGCATGTATGTACGTATTGTATGTAATCCATGTAACTTACATAACGTATGCAGTGTATGTGACATATGTATGTAGGCATGCATGCATGTATGTATGTATGTATGTGTGTATGATAGATGCATGCATGGGTCACGTAGGTGCGTCCGTATGTATGTTTTTTGTGCAGGTGTATGTATGTATGTGTGTATGTATGCATGTATGTCTGTATGTACATATGTTGTATGTATGTATGTATGTATGCATGTATGTAAGTGTATATATGAATGTGTGTATGCATGCATGCACGCACATACGCAAGTAGGTAGGCATGCAGGTAGGTATGTATGCATGCATGCATGTATATTTGGTTTGTTGTTATTCGGTTTGCCTTGTTTTGTTTGATTTGGTTTGATTGCATGTGTTTTGCTTGGCTGTGTTTTGTTTTGTTTTTTGTTTGTGTGCCTGCTTGTTTGTCTTTTGTTTGGATGTGTGTATTGTTGTAGTATGTTTGTATGGTTATATGTTTGTATGTGCGTATATATATATATATATATATATATATATATTCATCCATCCATCCATCCAGCCAGCCAGCCCATCCATGCATCCATGACATGCATCGATCGCTCGACCTGCCTGCCCACCTACGTACCTGCCTACCTACCTATACCTGCCTTACTACTGTACCTATCTGTCTATTTGTGTATCTACGCATCTGTCTTTCTATCTATCTGCCTATGTGTTGTTCTTTGCATCTATCTTTCCATGTTTCAATCCGTCAATCTCGGAGTCTATCCATTGCAGTATGACATCGACGCAGCACGAAGGGATGATTCTATTCTTCTCCCCATGTCCCAAACCCTAAACCCAAACCTGAGCCCCAAACTCCAAACCCAGACCCAAAGTCCCTAAATCCTACAACTTAAACCCGAACCCCCCTACACCCTAAATCCTAAACCGCCCGAGCCCTAAGCCCTAAATTCTTAACCGTATATAAGTCCCTCCACCCTTCACCCTAAACCCCTGAGTTCTAAATCCGTCTTAGGCGCATTCTCGAAGCCTCGGCCGAACACATCGCGGCGCTTGCTTGGGCGCGGCTCCGCTGAAGTCAGAGGTCTAAGCTGGGACCTTGGGTCTGTCAGCGTTAGAGGTTTGAAGGAGTCGCATTTAATGCGGTTTTGAGACTGCGAGATACACAAGGGGTTCGGGGACTTCACTGCATGCGGCACGGTCCGAGGTTGTGACCGGAGTTTTGGCTTGGGGTCTTGCATTCAGAATCCCTCTAATGCTGCTACATATTCAGGCCCTACAGTATGACATGGATATCCAAACATCACATGCTTAGGGTTTCCGGTTTAGGAGTGCCTTTGGAGTTTGGGCTTATGCGTTCGGGGTTTAGGGTGGTTTAGGGTAAACCTCCTAAACAACGGTGCAAAGCTCCAAAATCTGCTGAACACGTATCGAAATTACTATGCCTTCATCAGACCATCTACTTGGAGGATCAGAAGACTTAGGAAATATTATAAGTACCTTAATTGGGGTTATAATTTCCAAGCAGCTATAGGTATGATTACCTGATGCGTAGCCCTGCTACTAAGTCCCATGATCCTAACCCCAAACCCTAAACCCTATGCCCCATGATCCTGAACCCCAAACCCTAAACCCTAAACCCTAAACCCCAAACCCCAAACCCTAACCCCCCCCCCCCCCCAACCCCAAACCCTAAACCCTAAACCGCAAACCCTAAACCTCTAAGTCCCATGATCCTGTATGTAGAACCAGAACACACCAGCAGCTAGCAGAGCTAGGCTCGCCCATGCGGCGGTGCGTTCGGAAAGGGTTGCCGGCGAGGAGCGAGGGCTGGGTATCTTTGGGAGTTTTAGGGTTTCTTAGGGGTATAGGGTTTAGGGTTTAGGGTTTAGGGTTTAGAAATAAGTTTTAGTTTTTGGTTATTATAATCCCTAAGAAGCAGCAAAAATTGTAATTTTTGCTAGGGTTCTAAGTTCAGTATAGGTTTCAGGAGTTCAGGAGTTTAGGCGTTTGGGTTTAGGGGTTCGAGGTTCCGGACTCTTTCAGCAATATCTTATGCGCAAGGCTTCGTGCTGACTGGCTTGGCGTTTACGGAGCCTCATAGGCCTTCATTGGACGTTTGAGAGGGAGGGCTTCCCGGGATCGTCCTTGACTGCACACTCATCTTTTTCATGATTATCCTTTTGTTGTATGCCCCAAGCCCCACTCTTAATACAAGGATTCCCTAAACCCTAAAACGGAACCCTACACCCCACAGGTTGAACCTTAAACCATCCTAAACCATTGATAATGTAGAGGCTTCAATAAGTAGAATAGGGCCTTAACAATTGGGGACGTATACTATAATATACCCGCAAACCCTGTTCGAATTATTAAGGCCCCTAACGTAGAACCCAAGTCTAGATCCCTTCTAGAACCCTTTAAGGATCCCTTTAAAGGAAACCTATGCTCATCCTAAGAGGCCTCGTCCCGCTTTTCGGAGCTGCGGGGGTCCCTAGGGCCCACAGCCTGGGCATTGCGAGAGTTGAGTGCCTCGGTGTGGGCTTTGGGGCAAGTTTTGTGGCTTGAGGGTTTAGGGTTTAGGGTTTAAGGTTTAGGGTTTTGGGTTAAAGGTTTAGGGTTTAAGGTTCAGGATGTTCAGGGTTTAGCGATTAGGGTTTAATGTCTAGGGTTTTGGGTTAACAGTACGAGAGCCTGCTGGGTCTGGAGGGTTTTGAGTTGTTAAGTTCTAGAAGTACTCGAGAGGGCCCTGTCTTACAGCAGGATAGAGCTTTTTCATCTTACCTTTGGTTAGCAGGGAATGGAAGAATGGTAGTAATAATAGTCATAATTGTACCCCATTCCTCCATTCCCTACTAACCACAGGTAAGTCATTGGTATGGATAATATTTCGGGTTTTCACTTTTTCAAGTATAAGCTAGACTTTTGCTCAGACCGCAGTAGAACCTTCGACACCAAAGCGCGGCAAGCACTTAACCATCGACAGCGAAAGGCTGAGTGGGGGTAGGCATGCAGCTGTTGTTCAGCGCATGGGAGTGTGAGAAGTACGAGACCCTGATGTATGGCAGAATCCTGCATAGACAGGGGCCCCCAAATTTTCAGAACCATCATCCAGCCATGGTGTTGGTTGTCCAGCGGCTGGCGGATGCGGCTCCAGCCTGAGTGGTCGGGTGTAGGATGCTCGAGTTGTAACCATGCTTCACATGAACGAGGAGAAGGAGTTCCCGGAGTTTCGCGACGAGGCACGGAACGGGATCGCGTAGTTGGCGTGGAAAGCGAAAATTGCACTGATAGATCGCGAACTACAAAGCCGGCCGCGTGTTGACGGTGAAGCGGCTGGCGGATGCGGCTCCTGCCTGAGTGGTCGGGTGTAGGATTCTCGAGTTGTAACCATGCTTCATATGAGCGAGGAGAGGGAGTTGCCGGAGTTTCGAGATGAGGCACGGAGCGCGATCGCGTAGTTGGCTTGGAAAGCGAAATTTGCACTGACAGATCTCCAGATATAAAGCCGACCGGGATCGCCGCGTCACCTGGAAGCAGGTCACTCACTGACCATGCGACCCGGACTTGGATAAGCATTTCATCTGTGTCAGGGCGTGCGGACCATCTTCATCGACCGCGTGCCCAACCATAAGAGGCTTTGGTACACTCGAGCGGAGCGCAAAGCCATGAAGAAGGCTGGACTGGGACAGGTTTCAGGAAGTATTCTTCGAGTTTGGGTGTTCTGCCGTGCAGTGTTTTTTTCTTGGCATTGTTTGAATTGGAGCAACTAATTAGACATGCAATAGCAGCCCAATGCTTGGGCTCCAAGTGTCCGTGGCGTGGCAGGGGAAGGTGCGCAAGAAGCACGATCAGGCCGAGTCGCGGTGAGAATCGTGGAGAGAGAGAGAGAGAGAGAGAGAGAGAGAGAGAGAGAGAGAGAGAGAGAGAGAGACGTTAGCGATTGGGGCGGGAGAGAGAGAGAGAGAGAGAGAGAGAGAGAGAGCGAGAGAGAGTGTGAGACAGCAACCCGGAAACTGTTGCTGCTGTTGAGCTGGAGGTTGGAGAGCAGCGCGCCACGTGAGGAGCCGGGGGACTGGGGGGGGCAGGGTAAAGTCTCGCCTTCCCTCCGGGGGTTCGGGTATTGAATGGGTTTGTTGTTCATGACTGTTTTAGACTCGGTTTGGGTTGTACATGCTACTGGAACCCCTTTCTGGCTATAAGCCGGGGCATGCGACTCCTGTTGTTTATTTCCATCTTCCATTAAGTCTTAATTTCATTTAACTACTTATCTACGTTTCTGTCTATGTACTTGGCGTTCTTCTTGCCTGTATATCTTTGCCCATTTTTTCATGGCAGGGTCAAAACTGCCTCAGCATCTGCACGTGCATGTTTCTTTTATGTTTTTCTGTAAACATGGGGTCCACAATTAGGTGTTGGCATTGCTCATATTAAGTGTCCGGTTCCTGGTTAAACGTGTTTCGGACTAGATGACCCGTGGTTGTAGCCATGGTGTATCCTTCTGGTTGTAGAATTGGGGACCCGGGGGTAGTAAGGTCGGGGGTTTGTCCGGAGCGAGGTTCGCTTCCAGAGAGGGAGAGACAGAGAGAGAGAGGCAGAGTCTTGAGTAGTGGAGCCCCTAAGCCTAAGCCCTAAACGTCCAAAGCAACACTTTCCTATCATGCCGAAGTCTAAACCAAAAAGCCCTGAACCCTAAACCCTTTGCTCACGCCGCTTTCGAAATATTGCAGTTGCCACCAGTGGTGACTGTTTGTCCGGTACATGGCATGAGGCTTTGGTACCATAGGGGCCTAAAATAATTAGAATAGTGTTTTTCTACTATGATTGTAATAAGGATCCCCCCCAAAACCTTTTCTACTTATTCTGGCCTTGTCTGCGCTGGAAAGGGGGCCCTTGCAAATACCAAAATACCTTACACCTTAAGCTCCCAAAAGACCCTAAACCAAAACCCCTACGTGGAGGCTCAGAGGACTTAGTAGGGAAGGTTATAGTACGTTAATTGGGGTTATAAGTAACTACATGTATTGTTTCAGCATTTATAATTCTAGCTACTGAGTACCATGGCCATGATTCTTGAAACTATAGATCCCTATAAAGAACCCTTTGAGGAGGAACCCTTGAAGTTACTAAGTCCTGTGATCCCTGAAGTAGACATTCACCCCATGGGGCCTCAGATGTCGATCGGCCTAAGGTTCCACGGCGCTGTTGGATCCCAGGGTCGGCCTCCGGAAACACTGTGAGGCCAATTTAGGGTTTAGGGTGTATAGGGTTTAGGGTTCCGGGTTTAGGGTTTAGGGTTTGGGTTGCTTAATGATTAACAAACCAAGGGGCCTTTATTAGGTTTCCTTGTTTGAATCCTACACTTTTGGGGTTATAGGCCCAGGGTTTCTTTAAAAGGTTCCTACATTACATGGCGGGCTTAGCCCTAAACCCTACAAGAACCACTGTGAGCCCCAGGCCCTAACCCCAGGCCTTGGGCCCTGCAAGCCCTGCAGCTTTGGGTGGTTTAGGAGCTAAAGCCTCCCCCAGCTATCCCGTACCCTAAACCCTAAACCCTATATCCGAAACTCTAAACCCTAAAGCTGTAAACCCTAAACCCTAAGCTCGAAACCCGATACCCTGAACTCTAAACCCCAAACGCTGAGCTCTAAACCTTATACCCTAGAACCCTAAACCCTAAACCCTAAGCTCTAAACCCTAAACCCTTCCTGCTAACCAGTTGGAAAAGAGCCCTCAAAAAAAAACCCTAGAACTCAAAACCCTAAACTCTAAACCCTACACCCTATACCCTAGAACTCTAAACCCTACACTCTAAACCCTAAACCCTCCAAGCTATGGGAGGACACATTTCGTCAGGGCGGCTGCCCTTCGGCCCTGCGCGGCCTCGTGGAACTGGGAGCAGGCTTTTGGCTTAAAGGGATCTATAGGGTTCCTTAAAGGGATCTATGGGGTTTAGGGTTTAGGGTCTACTTGGAGGGGCTTAGGGTTTCGGGTTTAGGGTTTAGGGGCTGCAACGAGACGAGGGTGCCTATAAGGTTTCTGTGAGGTTTCCCATAAGGATTATATGCCGCCCTTAAGAGTTCTTCTGTTGATGATATAAATCCTGCATTGGAAGGAGCCTACGAACTATACGACACAGGTTTCAGGGTTCCCTGCAATCTGCCTATGTCTAGGGACTATTGTGATTTGTCATTCTGAAGACTGAAAAAGGATGTATAGAACAGCCATCTCAGAGATTGTACTGCTGAGCTACCGCCGTGTCTCCTACAGTATATATAGAGAATCGAGACCGATCCTTCAGGACACAACTGCAAGCTTACACCCTGCTGTAAGCCCAAACTTAAGCACTTGCTGGATATCCCGAACCCTTGTATCCCTTGAAATGGCTTTGCTAGAGTTTGGTATGGCTTTCAATTTTTTTTAAATGCGGTTTTGTGTAGGACTATCCATGTTCCCTCAGACTGGCCGACGGTTGCGGCTCTTTGCGCGCGGAGCAGCGACCTTCTCAGCGGCGAGGTTCGAATCTTTGGCAGATCCCTGGGGGTCCGAGGTTTAGGGCCATTTGGGGCTTGGGGTTTTGAGGGTTGTAGTTCAGGGTTCAGGGGTTTAGACTGTTATGTAAGATAAATAGATAGACAGGTAGAGGTGGGCGGAGGAGGGAGAAAACGGCCATAACAATGGCATTTTCAGCTTTGTTTCGATCTCTTGTGTAGGATGGTCTCAGCAGATTCCTGGACCCAAATACTTCCGTGGTTTGCAAATTTCGTTTCTGAGTCATGAAGGCGCACGGCTTTCGGTTCGAGGTCTGCGGCCGTAAATCACGGGTTTTGAGAGAGAGAGAGAGAGAGAGAGAGAGAGTCGAGTTTAGGGTTCAGGGTTTGTGTAGGGTTTTGGGTTCAGGGTTTAGGGCTTCGGGGGTGTATAGACTCAAAAAGCTTTAAACGTCTTGGTAGATCAGACATGCGTCATTGGTCCCACATTGCAGTTTACCACCATACCCTAAACCCTAAACCCTGAACCCTAAACCCTAAACCCTAAACCCTAAACCCTAAACCCTAAACCCTAAATCCCAAGTGCAATCATACTTACGCCCTATCTTAGGCATCAGTTTCGGTGCCGCAGCTGCCGAAGCGGAGCCTTGAATCTCGAAGCTGCGTTTGGGCCCGCAGCTCCTAGAACAGTAATGTGGGGGCCTTAATAATTAGAATCGGGTTTTGGGGGGGTTCCTTATTATAACTATAGTATGGGTTCCTTATTATAGCTATAGTATGGGTTCCTTATTATATCTCTAGTATTATACACCCCAACACCCCATTCTAATTATTAAAGGCCCCTACATTAGCAACCGGCCCCCATGTTTGATTATCCTAAAGCCGCAAACCAAACCTTTAGCCCCAGAGCCGAAACCGAAAAAACAAAAATGCAGTGTATACTCTGGAAAAACAGGAAGTCGTACCTTAACCCCAAACAACCTACGTCTTTAAGGACCTATGCCAGGGGACCATAATCCTTGGAGGATCAGGGGACTTAGTAAGTAAGGTTATAAGTACCCCGATTGGGGTTATAAGTACTTATATGTATAGTTACCTTACTTATAACCCTAGTTACTAAGTTCCATGATCCTTTAAGTAAGGAGCCCGAAAAGGGTCCATGTAAGCCCCGCTTTGGGCCCAAAGAGGTCGCTTGGGCCTTGGCGACATCCGGTCTTATGAGTGGCGCCTCTGGGATCGATGAAGAGAGGTTTAGGGTTTAGGGTACAGGGTTTAGGGTTCCGGGTATAGGGTTTAGGGGTTTAAGGTTTCGGGTTGGGGTTTAGGGTGTAGGGTTTAAGGGTTTGGAGTTGAGGGTCTGCGTACTCACTGACAGTGTCCAGGTAGGTGTATGGTCCGTCTGTAGCTATAGCCGCAACCCTATTATTTTTTTATGCCCCTGCGTTATCTTGATAGGCATACCACTCTCGGGGATCCTTTTTGAACGACTTTTGCAGGTATGGTCCCAAGACATCTCAACCATGATACGGCTGGCTCCTTCTAGTTTAAGCATGAGTTGCCGTCGCAGAAACAGAGTCGGGCTGCAGTGTCGAACGACACCAGTGAGGCCCCCAAGACGTAAGCACACCCTAAGGCCCTAAACCCCTAAACCCTAAACCCCTAAACCCCTAAACCCCTAAACCCTAAACCCCTTAACCCTAGCCCCTCAACCTCAAACCCCTAAAACCTGAACCCCTAAACCCCTAAACCCTAAACTCTGAACTCTAAACCCCAACCTGCAGAAGCTCGTTGCTTTCCCTCGGAAGCTTAGCGAATCGAAGCGGTAAGATCCCTAAACCCCCAAGGACTTCAGAAGCTGCAGGCTTTGAGGATATGGCAGGGTTCCTTTAAAGGTACTATAAGGGTTCCTTTAAAGGGCTTTATAAGGGTCTAGAGTTTCTACGTTATTTTGGGGTCCTTGTATTAGGGATCCTACTACTTAGGGTGCTATATGAGGGTCCCTTATTTTCGCACTTATCGGGTGTTTCTGGAAATTATGCATTTAGGCTCTGGGGTTTAGGATTTAGGCTCCGAGGCCCGCCGTAAAGCACCGTTCGAAGCCTTGCTGCTTAGCGATGCAAGGGTCAGATCCCCGCCGTTTTTGTAAAAAGTGTGTCCAAGCCATGAATTAAACCTACAGCCGGAAACTCCTAAACTCTGGAACCATACTGTAAACCCCTTAAACCCTAAACTCCTAAACCCTAAACCCTAGGCTCTAAACCCGAAACGAGAAAGGTTGACCGCCGTCAAAGAGTCACCGCTACAAAGCCATGCTGGACTCCAGTAGCAGCCCACGAAAGTACTACAGGGGCCTAAACATTTACCTATACTTTTTTGTTGTTTTGTTTTTTTGGGTCCTTTAAAAGGTTCCTTAAACGGGTCTAAAAGCGATCGGTAGTGATTAGGGTTTTATGGTCTAGTGGCCTATATAATTACCGATAAAATTTTGGGGGTTCCTTATTGTATGTATAGAATAATCGTATAATGTATCCCAAAACCCTATTCTAATTATTAAGGCCCTTACAGAAGTGCCGGCGCCGCCTCCCTTAGGGTTTAGGGTATACGGCTAGGGTTTAGGGTTTAGGATTTGGAGTGAGCAACAGACAGAATTGAAGGACCAGGCCCAGAAGTGGGAGAGTACAGTTAAGTCGCATGTGCGCCCGGCAACATTGAACAGTTCAATCGGCATGCAAACCTCCAAAAGAAGGTACCCCTAGGCTAAGAAACCCGAATTCTTAGGTTGTAGGCAGTGCACTCTGCGCCCTCAGTGCTTCTGAATGTTTTTTTTTTTTAAATGTTTTGGTCGTGGACTGAGGATGACTTAGCCGGCCACCCGCTGATCGAAGCGTTGGTGCTTGAGGTGGCTGAGCGCCGTGGACTGTTGATGAAGGCCTTGCACGCGCCGAAGAAGACTACCTACGTACTTCAGGTGTTGGCTGCCTAGGATGTCAGCGTGTCTTATTGTTCATGTTGTATGTGTTCTATCTTATGCTTTATGCTCGACGTTCATACTATGCGCTATGTACCATGTGCTGTGTAGTACGCATTATGTACTATGTGTCATGCACTATGTATTGCGTGCTGTGTATTTCTACATGTACATGTGCGCATGTCTTTCTGTCTTCCTGTGTCTGTCTGTCTGTGTGTGTGTACGTGTCTGTGTGTGTGTGGAATGGGTGGAAGGAGCTATGGACGCATAGCTCTGTACCTGCAGTCCCACTCGCCGATCGATTTGTATCTTTAGTCTTATGAGCCTTGAGTCCAAAACATTCAATTGTATCGCTCATCTAATGTATGCATGTCCTTGAGATGAATCTGGAACCCAAGAAGATTTCTGAGGCTTTGGTAACCGAACTTAAGATAATCTAGATGTAAAGAATTTTCTGGAGATGAAGACAAGAGATATCCACAAGAAGAAAGGAGAGGATTACAAGACAACCGGCAGAGACCGGATTTCCATGTGTGTGTGTGTGTGCGTGTGTTTGTGTGCCTGCCTGCCTGCCCGCCGCCTGCCTGCCTGGCTGTATGCATGTGCGTGCATATGGGTGGTTGTCAAAATTAGGGTCCCCTTTCGAGTCCTTATTATATACGGCACCTAATATCTAGGGTACCCAAAAAGGGACCACAATTTTGACAACCACCCATTTGTATGTACGTACGTACGGACGTATGTGTGCATGCAAAGGTATATGTACTGTACATGTGTTTGTATAGACGCATACATAAACACATTCGAGAGGAGTAGACAAACTTGATTATGATGATTGTGAGGGACAGCCACTCAGCCAGGCTCTGGCCTCATCTGCCAGTAACAAGAGCAGGGGACAAAGAAACTGAAACCCTGACTCCAAAATCTAAAGCCTCTCTTCGCCAAACCCTCAAAGCTGTTGAAACCGCACCCTACTTCAAGCCGAGGCACTCCCGCAGCCTCTCTGGGCACGACTGTGTTCGCTGGTTTCTGCGGCTGCAGTGTTAGGGTTCTGGGGGGTTTCCGGCTAGATTTCACTTGTGTCCTCAGCTCTAAACTCCTGAGGAGACCCAGTAAAACCTATATGAATCCCCGGGTGAAGCCCTCAAAGTCAGACCCCCGGATCCCGGAGACCCTCGATATTCAAGCCACTCTTATGCTTCATCCGACACACCTTTACTCTCCTAGGACTCGACATCTAGGAACTTTGGGGTTTCGGGGTTTAGGGTTCAGGGTCGACGCATGTACGGGTTTTTCGTCGCGTTGCTCTCCTGATGATGGCTTGAGCCATGTGAGAGTTGGCTTTCCTGTCAGACCCAGCTTCTTCTTACTGCTGCTGCGGCGGCTGTTGCTACGGATGCTGTTGTTGCTGTTGGTGGTGTTGCTGCTGTTGTTATCTAGCTATCTACGTGTCTATCTGTCTATCTGTCTACCTATCAATCTAACTGTCTATCTGTTTATCGGTCTCTGTTTTGATCTATCTATCTGTCTACTGACCTGCCTATATATATATATATATATATCCATATCTGTCTGTCTATATCTCTCGCTCTCTGCCTCTACCTGTCTATCTACCTATTTCTTTCTACTTATCTGTCGTTCTATCTGTCTATCAACCTACCTACCTACCTACCTACCTACCTAGTATCCTATCTACCTATCTATGTGTCTACCCATCTGTCGATCTAGCTATCTATCTGTCTGTCTATCCATCTATCGAGCTATCCATCTATCCATCCTATAGCTGCCTGTCCATCCGTGAGTATGAGTATGCAAGTATCAATGTGTGGATGGATGGATGGAGGGGGGAGGGAGGGATAGAGGGAGGGATGGATGGATGGGTGGATGGTTAGATAGAGCAGACGGGTAAATCGATTGCGTCCGCGTTCGGCAGACAGACATGTCGCGATGTATGTATGTACAGGTATATGTATTTGTGCTGGCCTTAAGTCCATGTGACCTTGACTGTTCCGCTTCTTTTAAGGTGTTCATGTGTGGTGTTGTATTCTTCGTTTGACTTTGTGTTCTGCTTCGGTGCCCTGTCTCGGCCTCCTCCCCTTCTCCCTGCCTCCTCGGTCAGGGATTGCTCCGCAACCAGGCTCTGGGCTTTCGCGCTTCTTCTGGCACCGGCGCCTCCTCTCGTCTCCTTGGCCCGCCGCGCGGCACGGGTCGGCGACGAGAGCAGCCGGGAGTCCATTTATCCGTGTCATGCACCGTTTCTATGTTCCTTCTAAGATTTTTAATTCAAAAACGGTGTCATGCACCGTTTTTATGTTGCTTCTAAGACGGCCGGGGTTATCCGATTTTTCAGCATCTAACACCTTGAACCCTGAAGCCCAAGACTTCAAGACCCGAGCTAAACCCGAAACTGTCGTGCCGATGCCAAACGTCAATATTTCCAAGGGGGCTTTGTCTGAAAGCCCTGGGTTCGAGTGTTTTAGGATTTCGTATTTTGATTGCGATTTCAGGGTTTTGGGGCTTCAGGGGTCGAGGTTTTCAGGGTAACCCTAAACCCTAAGCCCCTAAGCCGTAAACCCTAAACCCTAAACGGCACTGTCTCGGCCAGTGGTGCGTCCGATTGCTGCAGCCTTTTCCGGTGAGAGTCAGGCTCAACGGATTCAAGTCGGCAGTACTGTAAGGGGTTCCTTGAAGGGCTCTTAAAAGGGTTCTACTATAAGTCGTACTATCGGGGTTCGGTGTAGGGCTTGCGCCAGCCGAAGTCATTAGATCCTAGATTCTTAGCATGTGCCGGTACCCTGTCATCTCCTTCCTTCCGTTTCAGGATCCCCTCCCGTTTGCAGATGATACACCGCGAACATACTGTAGAGGCCTTAGGGTTTCGGGGGAAAATTAAACCATGATAAAATTAGACCCCCCCCACCCGAAGGAGAGTATTGCTAATTATTTAGGCCCCTATACTATGCGGCCACCAGTTGCTCGGAACACTTCAGCTTTGAGGTACCGCGGATTTCTAGATAGTCATGCACTGATCTTGGGTACTTGGAGGATCAGGGGACTTAGTAAAGAAGGTTATAAGTCCCCTAGTTGGGGTTATAAGTACTTATATGTATAGTTGCCTTATTTATAACTCTAGTTACTAAGTCCCATGATCCTTTAAGTATGGGAGCGTGAGTGTTGCAGCATGGGATGAAGAAAACTGCTGTGACGTTCGTGCTGCTTTGCGGCCTCACTGTCATCCTGCAACAGGAAGGCCTCTTGTCTCGAGTATGCATCGGGGTCCTGGCAGCCCTAGGCCCTGAACGATATAATTACCGATACTATTTTTGGGGGTTCCTAATTATAAGTATAGTGTAGTAGTATCATACATCCCAAAACCCTATTCTAATTATTAAAGCCGGGGGTAACAGAAACGAAGGTGTCTTCCCTACAATCGGCGCTGCAGAGGAGGAGGTTCAATCTTCCCATGAATCAGCGGGCCTCGCAGCGGAAGCGGAGCCAGTGACGACCCCAGGAACATCCATACAGCCGCCCTTCCCATCACAAGCTCCTGGAATCCCCACTGCAAACCCCCAGATTTCTGCAATTTCCTCACAGCCCGTGCCCAATCCCATTCCCTCTCCGGCACCACCACCGCCACCACTGCCACCGGCACCTCCGTCGCCACCGCCTCCCGTGCCGATCCCTCCTACAGCTGCGCCCACGGTGCCGCCGGATACTGGGCTTTGGAGTACCATACTTGTTTTGGGTTTAGGGTTTAGGGTTTAGGGTTTGGGGTTTAGGGTTTAGGGTTTGGGGTTTAGGGTTAATACTTTTGGGGGACCTGTTACTTGAAGGGAGCCAGTTTGTGAAATGAAAGGCTATACTTTTGTCTAGCTGGTTACTTCAAAGCCCACTTAGAGGATCATGGGACTTAGTAAGTAGGTTATAATTGGGGTTATAAGTCCCCTAAGTGGGGCTATCCTAATTATAACCTACTTAAAACCTTAGTTACTAAATCCCATGAGCCTTCAAGTACGCTAGTTACTCTAGGACCCAGAGTAGGCCCTTATTCCCTTTGTTGATTGTTCCGGTTCCCTTATAAGCCCCTTTAAGCCAAAAAGGGCACCCTTTTTATTCCTAGGTTACTCTTGGGTCTAGTACTTGCATTGAAAGCCCAGGATAACACGTCTGCTACGGCCTCGTCCTTCTGCAGCGAGTGGGGGCCGTGGAGGCAGACCTGGCTTCCGAAGGAAGGGCGTCTGGAAGTCGATATGCCTAAGGGTTTCTTAAATGGTTCCTTAAAGGGATCTATGAGGGTTCTATAAGGGAATGTTAGGGAGCCTTATTCTAAAGCCCCGTTACGGCTGTACTGACTAAACAACCCTAAACCCTAAACATCCCTAAACACTGAAGCCCTTAAACCCTAAACCCTAATCGACAAGCTGCAGCCGCAAACCCATGGCCCAAAGGCAGTCAGTCAATCATTCAATCAATTAATCATTCACTTAATCATTCAAACAATCAAGCCCTAAATGGCGTAGGTTTAGGGTTCAGGGCTTATGGCGGCACATAATGGCAGAGTAAACACAGACGGGTAGAAAAGTAAATCTCTTCGATCCTCGTGGTGGATGTTGTTTTCCCTCACGCTGGAGCTTCTTGGATACCGCCTCCACAAGATAACCCTATCCCAAAGGGTCCAAGTATCATCATGGGACATACTTAGACCCCCAAAATGCCCTATAAGTATATACCAGGATGATACTTGGACCCTTTGGGTATACTTTCGAAACCTTAGCCGCCTTAGGCCGTCATGACCCCAAGCCCAGAGCCCAAGGCCCAAGACCCGAACCGCTCCACCCTCAATCCCTACCTTAAACTACCAAACCCTACTATTTTGTAGGTTCTTAAAAAGAATCCTAATATGGAATTTATAGGGACCCTACAAAAAAGTAGGTCTTGGTCGGTTAAGGTACGGTAAGCCCTAAACTCTGAACCCGAGCCCTTGCCCACGTTGGGTCAAGCGCAGGCTGGAATGGTCGGACGACTTTACCGGAGATCGCTTGGATCCCGAATACTGGCAGACGGTGACCAGCCAAGGACAGCCCGGTGGGGATCTATAAGGGGTACCTTTAAGGGGCTCCTATAAGGGATCTATAGGGGCTTTAGGGCTTAGGGTTTAGGGATATAAAACCTGCATTACCCTAAGGACCCTAAACTATGGGAATTATGGTATATTCCTTATTCTGGGTAATGCAGGATTTATAGCATCAACAGTAGGTTTGGGGTTCAGGGGCTATAGATAGGGCTTCCGGCCTGGCCGTTGATATGTGATATGTGAGCAGCCGAATCAAAAGGCTGAAAAAACTTGGAAAGAGCCTAGGAAGGAGGCATGCAGTTAGGGTCGAGCAGAGGGCAGATGGAGTGTCTTAGGACCATTCCGCGGCGAGATTGTGATGTCGTAACTGTTTTCTTCGTCTGGCACTGCCTCAAGAGCAATCTGTGTCGAATGGTATTGTTTCGCGTGGTGAACTCTTCAAACCCAAAACATTTCCCCCAAAGCCATCAGCGCTGCATCCTGGACAATGCTATCCAAAGCCCTTCGAAAGCCCTTGTTTCGAGGTTGGTGCAGGACAGCGCAACGACGGAGCCTCAAGCCCTGTTGCTTAGCCTGCCCGGAAGAACTAACCCACCATGGACACAAAAAGGCCTAAGCCCTAAAACCAGGGCCTGAACCCCGGTCTAATTCAGCAGGCCGTAGTCATGCTTAACAACCACCGTTTCAACATCTGGACGGTTCCATGAAGGATCCTTCCTGGGGCTTTGTTTATGTAGGAGCCGGAAGAGGCACTAATGACTAATGTGACTACTAAGGGTTCCGGATTGTAAGTAGACGGTCACATACGGTTCCTTATGCTGAGTAGATGATTAAATATATTTCTATGCATCCCAAAACGCTAGTCTAGTTCTACATGAAGGCACCCCATGATACTACATAGGCCTCTATCACCAGCTTTCTGGTGCCAGGCGGGTACAAGGACATTAACTTCGGTGTGGCGGGCTTGATACTTGGCCTGTTGCGGGGCGCAGGCTTCTTTTGCGCATTATCATGTGCTTAATATAGTTGTAGCTATAGTATCACGTACACCAAAACCATTCTGATCATGAAGGCCCCTGTATCAGTTGGTGGAATAGTTCTGGGGGTCCACAGCAAATACGTCAACGAACCCTCGGGAAGGAACGCAGGCTAACGCAGGTTCCCAACCAGAGTTTCAGATTGGGGATTTCTGATAATTCCTGTCTTGAAAGGAAGAGGTCTGAGGATAAGGCTAGTACTCAGACACCCTAAACCCTATCGGGCACAAGCTTTGGAGAAGAGGGATCAACGATCTGATCGTAAAGAGAGAGGAGCAAAGGCCACTGTGTTTGACTCTAGGCCCCTCACAAAAGGAGGGGTATGGGGTATATTGGAGCCGAAATTATGTTGGGGTCACAGGGGACCCTAAACCCTAAACCCTAAACCCTAAACCGGACATTCTGTCGAAAAGACACGTGCAGGGTTCCCCGTTCAAGAACCGTATCTGGGTAGTTGTCAAAATTATGGCCCCTTTTTGGGTACCCCAAAATTTAGGTGTTTTATTAAAAATAACGACCCCCAAAAGGGACAATAATTTTGACAACCACCTATCTGTTAAACGAGGCTTTCACGTCAGCTTTGAGGCTCTCAGACAATCAGTGTCCCCTTAACCCTAAATGAGAGTTTCCAAAAACTAGGGGTACCTTATTTGGGGGTCCTTATATATAATAGGATCCTACTTTTTAGGGTATTATATTAGGGTTCCCGATTTTCGGAAACTCCCAAATCCTGCGCCCTCACCTGAAAAGACAAAAGCCCCTAAACCGTAAATCCTACTCCCCCCCACCAAAAACACACGCGAACCTTAAACCCAATGCATGAGGAATATCACTGCTTGCCGCTGTGCCTCGTGTCGCGAGTCGAACGTCCGAGTTCAGGACTGCGCACTTGTGGAGCAATTCCCGGAGTTTATGGGGTCCCCGATTCCCGATACTTATTGAGGGTTTAGGCCTCATGGCTTCGGAAACCCCCTATATGAAACCCGCCCTTCATCAATCCAATCACGCCGGTCCACCACCTTCGCTAGTTTGTCCTGTCGTCTTGAGCTGGAACTTGCTAAAAGGGTTTATGTAGCCCTTTGCAAGCGTTTGGGTTTAGGGCTTTCCAGGTTTGGGGCATTGGGTTTATTTTTAGGGCAGAGGGCAAAACCCGTCGTGGGAATCTGTCTCGAATGAAAGTACGGCTGAGGCTTTCGATAAGAAATCCGTTCAAGCTCTGAAAGGCATTCGGCCCGGAAGGTTTTGTTTTCTCTTTGCTGTTTCTACTTTTTTTGCAGCTAAACCCTAAACCCTATCCTTGACGGATCGCTGCGAACAGGACGGCCAGCTCAAACTCATGTCTGAGCGCGACCCGCAAATCGCCAGAAGGCGCAACCCCGGAACCCTAAGCCCCTGAACCCTAAACTGCACCACCACGGCTTCGAGATGTCTGGGGTGCACAAGGTACTTGATTACATGCCTGGGGTAAGGTTACTTCGCGTACATTTTCGGGGAGCTTCATCTCAGCATATGGGAGTTTCTGAAAATAGGGGACCCTAATATAATACCTTAAATAATAGGATCCCTATTATAAGGACCCCAAAACAAGGGTCCCCCTTTTTGGGAAGCTCCCATATTCGGGCTGCAGTCAGGGCACCGGTCCCTGTCTCAGTTAGAATGTCATGTTGGTAGGTGACTTACGTTTCGAGAATGAATTCGGCCGGCGTGAGACATTCGAACCGTTGGATTTTAGTAGACTTTACATAGTCTCCGGTCATGTTGAAGCACTGGCAAGAATATCGAGGTCCCAACAACAAACATCTTTCTTGACAGGATCCCCATGTATGAGTGTTAGTCGTGAACCGTGTCCTAGTCAGTTTAGGTGCCTTTAGTCGCTACTAGGTTAGCTTCGAGAAGTTGTAGGCAAGCAGTAACGCGACACTTTGTAGGTGCATTGCCCCCCCCCGGCCCCAACACTCGCACCACTTTCATTGCCATCAACAACATGAGGTATTACTCCGCGGCCGTCACCACGAAGGATCGCATAGCTTGGTCAAGCAAAGATGGCCCTTTTCGCTGCTTGGCCGTATCCCGTCGTACAGCCCGCGACGTGGGAGGTTGCACGATTTCTTGGCTTCGGGTTTACATGCGAACCGTGGCCCAAATACATCCATTCTTCCAAGCATGCAGCTGCATGCATGCATGCATACATGCAAAGTGTATCATGCGGAGAGCCTCCCGCTGTAAAACCTTAAATTCAAGCCCTACAGCTTTTATATGTTCATGTAGCAACTTGACTAAGAAACGCTGGATCGCTACTAGGGTTCTTTGTAAGAGCCCTACTTGTGGTATCTTGGGGACACAAGGCCCGGACCCCTCGATCAAGTCCGGCTCGCTGAGGTGTTTGTGTGCGTGCCCGGCTGCCCTTGAACACCAGGCTCCGAGATCACCAGTATGATTTGGGGTTTGTCGAAATCGGGTTGTAGGGTTAGGATACTGTTAGGACGTATCGAGTGCTACGGTTACGGATCTAGGGTTTAGCTTTGCGTCTTTTTGGTGATACTTATTGAATGAAGGGTTTGACCATTTGAGGTTTGGGCCTTAGAAGTTTAAGGGCTTGGATGTATGGAATAGTCTGGCTTCTACGCGCGTCTTCAGGTGTCTCTTGAGGCGCTCATTATTGAGATGTTACTCTTTTTGGGCATTACTGCAATCGGCCTCACGAGCCTCCTGCGAGTCGAATTGGACCAATCTTCGCTGGTATCAGCGTGCAAGCCGAAGGGTGGAAACGGAAAAGGAGGAAACGCGCTGTTATTGGGACATCAATTGCCGGGGGTTATGCCATCCCAGCATGGAACTATGGAAGCAAGAGGCTTCATCTTGACGGTACGGTCTAAACAGGAAATATCCCTGGAAACCTTCAGAATCCAAGCCAAAAGCTTATCATGATGACGAAACTGCCTCGAACACGAGAGGCCGGACTGATTTCCGAACCCAAATGACTTCATGTGCCTAATGCCGACTATGTGATCAGCATTGACATGATGCTTGTCGATGATTTGAAGAAACACATCCTTGAACCTACGGACAAGGAGTCCTACAGACATTTCCTGATCACACAGTCCTGGAAACAGGCCAAAGGACGCTACAAACTCAACTGCAAGAGCAACCCAGCAGGTCCTATCTTGCATATGCTTAGTCCCCCACTTCCACCGACCATCACATATGAAACTACAGAATGCTTGACATGCTGCTGAAGATATAGGAGCCTTCCTAATCTTAATGACACCGCAGTCGACGGGTTGAACAGGAGGACTGAGAATGCCATTGAAAAACACAACTCTTCGGAATACCGGATGGAGAGACCAAAGTCTCTCGGAGATTGTGTCGTCGAAGCGACTCCTATTACAAACACCATCGACAAGAGCCTCTTCCAAACCCCCAACTTGCATAATACAACACCCAGTACATACCGGTTTCAACTTGCCTATCACCCGAGTTGTAGGGCGACACAAACACTTGCAAGACATCACGGTATCCCGAAAAGGCGCAGGCACTGTGCAGTCTGGAGCCATATCTATTTCGGACTCGGCTCTCCTTGAAACCAGTGTTGACACAGCGTGAGTTTGAATGTCAACAGCTCTCTGGATAAAAGGATTGAGCTCTTGCAAGTTCTTGACGAAAGCATCATGCGCTTTCCGTTTGGCACACCGATCGGCAAGCTCATTGCCACGCGTCAAGTGTGCAGGTTGTCCTGTGTGACCTCGTGGAACATGGGCCTTCACTTTGACGAAGGAAATATTGCAGTTCGGTCTTTTGTGGACCTCTTCAAGAAAAGATGTCCACAAATCGTGATTATCAAACTTGACAATATCCTCAAACCGATAGCCATGTTGCTTCAGAGATGCCGCCCTGTCGACAACCCCTGCGCAATCGCTGACCAATGTAACCGAACCATGGGTAAGCTTAAGGGCCAAAACAGCGGCATACAATTCAGCACGTTGGGATGTGAGATCCCTGCCTGGCAAGAGCACCGACATTTCAAACTTACCAGGAACGACGACAGCACATGCCGCGGAGCGTAACGCTTGCCACTTTTCATGAAAAGCAGACCCGTCCAGAAAGACTGGCTCGTCAACTGAGAAGGTCTCGGAGATCTCGGGGAACTCAAGCAAGTGGTCACGTGACCTTTCCGAAGCAAATGCATCACTCGGGGAGAAGAAAATGCCGGCTGTCCAAGAGACGGCATTCTCTTCACCCCTGATTGGCCTGGTAGCTGCGTATAGTGGACACTCCATAAACAGATGTTGATGGGTCTCCGCGTGCTGCTTGCAACAACACTCATCCGATTGAGTCATACCAGCAGCTTTGAGTCGCGGTCCGGTATAGATGCCGCCTGTGATAAACGACTCAACAATAGCACGAGTGTGGGCATGATTGGAGGGCAACCGCTGCAAAAAGGGCTTCAAGAACTGGAAGTCCTCATCAGACCGGAAGTCTGACTCAATCAAAAACCTGGTCAAGAAAATGTCCATGTCCGGAATGTTAGCTGGAAGCTGGCAGTCATGCCGAATCGAAGCTTTGCGTAACAAGTAAGTTCGAACCGCAACGCCTAACTCCTCTCTGAAGAATTGTGTGCTACCCGCTGCTAAGCAGATTTCTCCGCGCTGCGGGGTTTTAATGACGAAGTTGTCGACATCAACAAAGGACCATTGCAACTCCTGACAAAGAAAAGCAAAGACTTGAGATGTTACTCAATTGCTTCACTGGGAATAGGGAATTGCGCAAGTTTGGGTAGTCACTGTGCAGAGGAGATTAGCCGAACTGGGAAACCGTAAAGCCTGAACGCTAAACTCGCCTCAACGTTTCCCTCCTAGCTAGGAGAGCTCGCAAGACCACCTGGAGCTAAACAAGTCCGAATATCAGAGTACAAATGATAAGACACAGCGGCATATAGTCGTATAAAATAATAAAACATGGTGATGTGAGAGTACGACAACGGCGTAGAATAGTGTGCGCTGGTATATGACAGTAAAAGCTTGAATTATATGTACTGGTCTAAACTAACCCACAACTGTGTATATATATAGATATGTGTATATATAAGTTATACTGTGGTATATGTTCCTGCGTGTATATGTGTATATTATTATACACATACATATACATACACACATAGATACATACACACAGGTAGCTTGCATAATTAGTCTAGAGGCTTCAACCAACCACTGAGCCTGAGGCACAAACCCAATGAACATAAACCCTATAACCCTAAACTCTAAACCTTAAACCCTAAACCCTAAACCCTAAGCCCTAAACCATAACCCGAAGCTCGAGAACCCTCAAAGCCCCAATAGCTTCACAAAGCCCAAAACAAACCACAAGACTCGATACCCAAACGGCGCGCAAACGCCTCAACCCCAAAAGCCCTAAACCCCTAAAACCCTGAAGCCTTAAAGCCCTAAAGCCCTAAAGCCCAAAAGCCCTAAACCCTAAACCCCTAAACCCCAAACCCCCGAGCTCAGGGGCGTGTGGCCGGCTCATTGGATGCTGCCGCAAAACGGCGCCTTAGCTTCCTAATAACAGTAGACTGTACTTCCCAGAGACTCCAATATCCCTTAATTAAGGAATATTCCTTAAATTTTAGTAGGCTCCTTAGTATGATATTAAGGGATATTGGAGTCTCTGAGTTCAAGGGTTCTAGAACTTAGGGGGGTTTAGGGTTTAAGGTTTAAAGTTTAGGTTTGTACTTTAAGGGTTCTAGAACCTACATATGTAGGGGTTAAGGGTTTAAAGTGTAGGGTCTTCGTGTTTATGAATTTGGGGGTTAATAAAGTTTTAGACTTTAGGGTTTATGGGTTCAGGAGTTTACAGCTTGCTACGGGGGTGCGTCAAAGTCTTTTGTATATAGGTTGATTTTAGGGGATGTTTGTATAAGAGGGTTTGTATACTGTGATTGTAAAGTGTATGTGTGTGTTTTGTCTGTCTGAACCAGGTGTTTGGTATGGTTGCTATAGAGGTTTTGTAGGGTTGATGCAGGTTCGCTATAGATCTCTTAAGAGGTTGTGCAGTGTTTTGTGGTTTTCAGGTTTCAGGGCTTCGTGGGGTTCATCTAGGTGAGTATTCTGCTGCAGCTCAAAAACGTTTGAGTGTCCGATTACCCTAAAACCCCTGGACCTAGCCCCTAAGCTCTCCCTCAACCCTGGACCGAGACCCTTCGACACCTGAACCCTAAAACCCTGATCCCTAAACCCTAAAACCCTCCTGGTGGCGTGGCGGGTGATGGCAACGATGGAGTTGACGCTCACGGGGCCTGACTGAGGGAACAATCTGAGCACGAGGGTGGCAGTGCGACGGTTTTCTTCGTAACGTTGCCATGTGAGCTCGTTATCTCCTGGCACCAGTGGCCTCCCGGTTGAGACTTTGGGGATTGGTCGGAAAAAGGGTGACCAACAGCAAAAATCCTCAGACCCTAAACCTTATGCCCCGAACTCGCAATTGGGTGGTTGTCAAAATTATGGTTCCTTTTTATAACAAGGACCCAAAAAGGGACCCTAATTTTGACAACCACCCTCTTGGGTATTGCGGAAGCCAGGCTACTCGGATCAATGCCTCGACGATGCTCGGCTGATCTGGTTGTGGGGTTTTGGAATCTGCAAAGCGGCTCTTTAGTGGTGCTGGATCTAGAAGGGCTACCATAAGGGCCATTATGAGGAAATAATTTGGGGGCCTTAATGATTAGAATAGGGTTTCCCTTTAAAGGGCTCCTTTTAAAGGGGTTCAGGGGTTTCGGTTTGGTGTTGAAGGTCCTGCGGGTTGTTAAGGGTTCAAGAGCGCAGGTGTTTGGGATTTCGTAGTTTTGAGTCAGGGGTTTGGGGTATCTTAGAAGACTCTTTTTGGGCCCGGTTATTGAAGAGCTTCTGCTGAGAAGTACAACTACGATGGGTCTTTCCTGTGCATATAAGCTTGAGACCCGGACGACGAGGTTTCGTCTTCTTCGTGGAATCTTCGTTCGCATAAATTACCCTTTATTGCGGTTCTGCTTACTTGTATCATTCATTAGGTATTGCCCCCATACTGTAAGAGTCTATAATAGGGCTACTACTAAGGACGTAATATCTATCTACACAAGAAAAGTATTCAACTATAACTGAGTGGGGGCCGTACCCAAATCATTCATGAAATCGGCTGACGGCTTCTTAGATCTGAGGTTTTTGGGGTCATTGGATGATCTTGCTACGACTATTCCTGCTTCCAGCTGGCTACTATTACTAATAGCGCTGTCTGCCTGCGATTTTGGCAGAAGTTGCCTTTTTTTCTTCAGAGGCTAGCAACTTTGTCAATGCTATTCCGATCAAAAGTGTTGCTATAATATCTGATTCTCTCTGTCGCAGCTGTAGCCGCGGCTCGAATTTCGGCAACTGCCATCGTGGTTGTTTGTCATGAGCACTATCGGAACCTTCCAAGATTCCTACACCCAAAAGAAACGGTCAGTACCAGCCAACAGCCAACACCTGAGCTCAGAAGGAGGGGGAGATGGACATCATGGAAATGGTCTCTGCGGATGGCACGTCCTTCAATGCTTATCATTGGCTCTCGAAGCTTTGGAGCACAGCCATCGGGTGCAGGGAGCTTGGGGATCCTAGGGCTGTACGGCTTGAAGGCTTTAGGCAGGGTTACAGTTTTAGTATATGGGGAACATCCAAATTCCGAGAGAACTCGTGAAACCTAGACGTACGACACCTGGCCGCTTAATTACCTTTTGAGGCGGCAGCCTTCGCAACCATCTTCGCGAGAAAACAAAGCCCAACGTTGTTCAGACAACCTGAACTTAGCGAGCGTTCTTTGACTTACCCTAAACCCTAAACCACTTATCTTCATGGGTCGGCCGGAACACCCGAACCAACAACATGCTGAGCTCAAGCGCAGTGACCCAGAGTCTCTAGTTGACTCGAAGAGTTTCGGGGTTTGAGGGGCACCTGACCCAAGCCCCCAGAATCTCGCCATTGTTGTTGCCCTCGTGACGTGCGACGGTGTTCCAAGAGAACTTGGAGAGCTACCAATCGTAGAACAACCAGCAAAGGCAGATTTTGACGATGGTGATGGTTGTGGTGATGCTGACTACGCTGATGATGATGACGGTGGCCATAATCGTCATCATCATCGTCATCACCACCACCACCGCCGCCGCCGTCGCCGCCGCCACAACCATCAGCATCATCATCAGCATTATCACCACCGTCAGCATCGCCATCGCCGTCGCCATCGCCGTCATCATCATCATCGTCGTCATCATCATCACAGTCTTCATCTTGATGTCCCATGATGCCGATGGCGACCGGGGTGTTGTCGACGGCGATGACGGCGTCACGGGCGACAATGATTGTGACTGTGATTCTGATGATTTCGATTTTGCCACAGTCATGATTTTTGTGCAGCCGCCGACAATGGTGGTGATGATAGTTATGATGGTTATGACGGTGTTGTCGATGATGACTCATGATGACGATGAGAGCAGGAGGAGGTGGAGGAGGATGAGGAGGAGGCAGAGCAGGAGCAGGAGCAGGAGCCGGAGCCGAAGCCGGAACAGGAGCAGTTAGGGTTTAGGGTTTAGGGTTTAGGGTCTAGGGTTTAGGGTTTAGGGTTTAGGGTCTAGGGTTCCTGGTGATGATGATGTCAATGCTGATGCTGATGTTTTGGTGCTGATGCTGGTATGGTCATGGCGATAATTACGACGAGAATGAGGGTCATACTGGCGCTGAAACTCTCCTGTTAAACTAGACCTACGTGTAGCCCCCTACCACCCTCAAAATCAGCAACCTACCCTTTGGTGGGTACAATTCCTTCAAAAAGGAGGGCTTTTGGGCTAGAGCTAGCTGTCTCAGCCCTGCAGGAACCTTCAAAGGTTGCGGCTCAGATCTTCTACAGTTTCTACATGAACTCTCGAGCTCCCATCATGAGGAAGTTCTTCCAACTCGTGTAGGATTTGGGGTTTAGGAGATCCATTCTGCTAACCAAGAGCTAAACTTGTACATGTCAGCACTAGAATTACCAAGACTATTGCCTAGGGCCCCTCGATATATTGACTATATATACTGACTATACTCCAACCCGATTCTAATTATTAAAACCTAAACCGAAGAGTCATGCCCAAACTTGCTCAGAAGCTGGCCCGGCACCCGTTGTGGAAACTTCGACAGGCGCCTCCGGCAAACTGCTGTGGGCTATCTGGGTTTATGATCAAACCGCAGGTGCTCGTTTTCCCCCTGAACCCATATCCGGTTACACCAGTAAGAGCCGAACTCAAACTCTGAGTGGATTTCGGGGATACATTGAGAATGACCCTGAATATTCTTACACTTCCCAAGACAGGGCGCAGGTCGAATCAACGTCAAAAGCACTCACCGTCATAAGTTCATCTGGTATCAAGCATAACTAAGGCACCATAACATGTGCATTCGAAGGTTTCGGAGCTTTTTGCATAAGTTGCTGCGGTATCATCAATGGTGCCGGCAAGAGTGTGCACTGGCTTACTTGTTGTGCGCATGTTTGTACGTATATGTATGCATGTACGTATGTGTGAACGTATGTTTCGCCAGCTTTGGTGCAGGATTAGCCAGAACTGCTCGGACCGACTGCGCCCCTAAACCCTAAACCCCTACACCCTACCCAGGGGCCCCAAAGTAGTTCGTTTTTGGGCGTGTCCTCTTTTTTGGTTAGGGGCTTTAATATATATATATATATATACATATACTACCTAAAAAGGAACTACTTTGGGGCCCCTGGGTAAACCCTAAATTAGACGTCTGGTGCTCGGCCCATGCCTTTCAGGCATTTGTGCGTAGCATCCCAGAACTAAGGCTCTTGTCTAAAGTACCTTCATCATGGGTCGAGCCTGTATGGTTGAATCAAGATCAACCGATCTATCTTACAGGGCTCTGCGACCCCGTTCAGGGGTTTGCAGCGTCGTTTCGGTTGTTTGCAGTTTGCGGCACTTCGACTCCCCGCCATCACAGCATGTTCTTCCAAGGGGAGTGGGCATACGAGCGAGCGAGCAACAGAATGGTCTCGACATGCTGACAGCAGTCAGGTTCCACAAGTCTGTCTCGTCTTCCCGAAAAGTGCCGAATTACCACACGGAGTTCCACGAATATGCCGTGGAAAGGTAGCTGGGCACCGATGTTCATGATATCTGGGTTTCCTTTCAGGATATTCTGCGTGCTTTGCTTAGATATTCATTTTGCTCTCGGGGACATGGTCGACAAATTTCTGGTATGAATCTGACCAGTGGGGACACAGAGGGCTGTCGGGCAACGTGACAAAGCTGCTGGCCGCCATGCAGCACCCGGCGTCTCATCCCAAACACACTGCATTTTAACTTCGCAGCAAGAAGATTGTAGATAGAAGGCGTTGTCAGCCAAATAGCCAAAGATCAAGCAGTGCAAGATGTTGTTCCTAGCCTTCAATTGCCCGCACTCGTACTTGTCGTATATAGCTACTCTGTTCTAGATTTTGGTTGCTATCGTTGTGTCTAAGATTTCAGACATTCTTCCGGGACCGTAGGAATCCAACACTTGGAAGTCCAAGACACAAGTTGCAGCTGACAGGCTGAGATGCATGTAAATGTGTGCCGCTTCAGGACAGGGAACCAGATTCAGTATGCCATCGATGGCAATGTCGCGCCTCGCTTGCTGTTCAGAGGCTGTCGGAAGACAATGTAGGGGCTTAAGTGATTACCAATATAATTATGTAGTATAACGGGCCCCCAAACCCCATTCCAATTTTGAGGCCCCTATATTAGGCGCACAGGAGAGTCTATGATATGAGATGCTCTTCACTTGCATCTAAGGGGCTTAGATCCTCGCTCGTCTGTTGTCGTGTAAAGCAGCCTCCGCATGAAGGAACTCTTAGAATGTACCATCGCCAGGGTAGTTGTGCATCATTGTAAATCAAACGGGTCCCTTGAACGCAGACGGCACATGAAAAAGCGATCCTAAACCCTAAACCCTAATCTCTATAAAGAAGCCCTAAACCCTAAACCCTATAAGCCCTAAAGCCGCAACCGTTTCATCCACAGGTATGCACAGTGAAACGGCCGTGCAGGGCCTCTGGCAGTACGATGCTCAAGCAGACCACGACGGCTCACCCGTCCCGCTGATAACAGAACTGACATCAAGAGCAAGCATCGCTGTGCTTTCATGTTGGCTCGCAGCGGTGTGTTCCGAGTCGTTGTGTTGCGCACAAGAAGGTGTCATCCGCTCGATTCGAAACATAGTAGGATGTCCCCCCTAAACCCTAAACTCTTTACCCCTAAATCCTAAACCCAACCCAGTCACTTTGAAACACCGAGGTCGGCGCGTTTTCCGAGACCCGGAACAGGTTCACCCTGTCGAAGTCGGCTTTCTTCCTGTTGCTCGGCTTCTGCTAAGTTTGTCGACGTGAGGTTTTTTGGGCGGGCTCATAGGGTCTTTCGACGGATTTAGATGGTTTTTACGTTTTTGATATCAGAGCTTTAAGGGAGCACCTGAACATCGACTATGAACGTCTACCCCCTTTGTAGTGATGTCTGTTAGCTTCGGCGCTCAGGTGCGTTTCTGATCTCCTATTGAACCGGTTATAGATGCCCCCGGACTAGGCAGGATACGCACAGTATTTTGAAGATGGTTTCGTCGGCTCCCCCTTGTTTTCAATTTCTTTGCAAGGTTTGGCTCGAGATGGGCTGAAGGGCTTTCTCGGACCAACCCGAAACCCTATCCCCCACACCATACAAACCCCAATGTAGGACCTGATTAAGAAACTTTGGGCCTTTATTAGGGTTCTGAGTGTGGATCCTGATATATTGGGGTTATAGGACTCGGGTTTCTTAATCAGGTTGCTACATCAAACCCTAAACCCTAAACCAAAGCCCCCAAATCCCTAAACCCTACACCCTAAACCCTAAACCCTAAACCCGAAGCCCTAAACCCTAAACCCCAAACTGTGAGGATGAGCAGGCTTGACATGCTGACAACATGTTGGCTTTGTGGAAGTTCTGCGCTGGACACTTCGGGCTTCTGGAGTAAAAGGGTCACTAGGGTTTAGGGTTTTGGGGTTATAGGGTTTAGGGTTTAGGACTTTTTTTTTGGTTTTAGGGTTTAGGGTTGATGTTGAGCCAGAGGAACCCACCATCTGTGAAGCTGCAAGAATTGAACAAGGCTTGGCTTCCTGTCCTAAATTCCTTCACGGGCCCCTTTTAGGGTTTTAGGTTTTGGGGTGTAGGGTTTGGGTTTCAGAGTTTCCGGGTTTAGAGGCTTGGGGGTTTTGGGGTTGGGGCTTACTAAGCACGATTAAAGGTGTTCTGATGCAACGACCATCCGACAGCCCGCACTTTCTTTGTCCATGTCACCGTTCTGCTGCAAAGTCTCAGTCTTCAAGGTATCCCCTAAACCCTAAACCCTGAACCCTAAACCCTAAACCCTACCTGAATCTCTCTTTTTGGCGATGTTAGGATTCTCAACACGGCCATCGGTGGCGGCTGGCCCGGGAATCCTGACGATGCTTTGTTTGCATTCGGGATCTCACAGCGTGCTTTGAGTTGGGCCTGCAATGCCAATGTGGCTATGCCCCAATGCTGAAAGGATCATGGGACTTGGTAACTAGAAAATAAGGATACTATACTTGTAAACTTATAATCCCAACTAGGTTGGGTACTTATAACCTTACTTGCTAAATCCCCTGATCCTCCAAGTGGTGCAACCACGACGAAAAAAAGAAACACGGTAGCACCAGCAACAGGTCGTAGTCCTGGTCCTAGTCCTAGTCCTAGTCCTAGTTCTAGTCCTAGTCCTAGTCCTAGTCCTAGTAGTAGTAGTAGTAGTAGTAGTAGTAGTAGTAGTAGTAGTAGTAGTAGTAGTAGCAGTAGCAGTAGTAGTAGTAGCAGCACCAGCGGTAAAGTAGCAGACAACACGAAAGTATGGAGCCGCCCCATGGGAGATCCGAGCCACAAGCGGAAAGCCCAGCTCCGGGGCTATGCGCAAAAAATGCATATTATTGGGGGCTGTAATGATTAGAAGAGAATTTTGGGGCCCACTATACGAACACTATAACAAGAACGCCCCCAAAAATAGTAAAATAGCTAAGTATGAAGGCCCTATAATATACACTCGTGCGTTTGGATAGGCCTTTGGCGGCTTGGGTTTGAGGGTTTAATTAAACTACACCAGGTTCAGGATTCAGGGTTGCACATGTCGATGTCCATATCTGTACTTTCTTGTGTTTGATTCTTGCGACCCCCAAAACCCTAAACATCCCTAAACCCCAAACCCCTAAACCCTTGAACCCCTAAACCCTAAATCCTAAACCCCCAAACCCCTAAACCCCTAAACCATGAAAGGACAGCAAGACGAAGATGCCGGTGGAGCACGCGATCGACTGGGTGCGCGTGCTTCGAAAAGCTTCTGCCTGACATCTCCGCTTTGCTGCATTTTTTTGGGGTTTAGGGTTTAGGGTTTAGGGGGGGCTTAGTAAGTAAGATCATAAGTGCCTCAATTGGGGCTATAAATACATACAAGCAAAGTTAGTTTATTTACAACCTTACGACGGTAGTTACTAAGTGCCATGATTGTGAAAGTAAGGTTCCCCAGAAAAGTTCGGAGCTTCCGTTAAGACGTCAGCCCCAAGCCCAAATCCTCGGTAGTTCTGCGGAGCCCAGTTCTGGATGAAACGGGTTTTTGGGTAACCCTAAACCCTGAATCCTATACCCTATATAATTTCTACAACCGAAAGCCTAACCCGAAAACGCAGAACCTAAACCCAAAACGCTAAAGCTTGTCCCTCCCAGGAGGTTCAACCTCGTGCAGTCTAAACGAGGTTTTGGGCTTACAAGGGTTTAGGGTTTAGGGTTTAGGGTTTAGGGGTTGACCCGTGACCCAGTCGGCCCAAGCTCCAAAAACCGGTTCAACAACATCAAACCCGATGCCCTAAACCCTCAAACCCATAAGCCCCTGCATACAAAAGCCCCTGAAGCCCTAGAACCCTCAAGCCCTAAACTCTAGAACGATAGCTTGTATTATTTGATATTTTAACATTTGTATTATTATTATTATGACGAATATTTTTATTCTTATTACTATTACTACAATTATTACTGTTATTAGAGCCCGGAACCCTAAACCTGGCATCGCGACCCAAGGCATCGTTCCAGTAGCTTGGGCATTCGCGACGCTACGCTTCGCCAATGGCCGCTGTGCTCGGTGCTGTCTTCTTGTTTAGGGTTTGGGGTCGAGGGTTTAGGGTTTAGGGTTTAGGGTTAGGGTGAAGCAATTGATGAGAGCTTGCCGGTCACTTGGAGGATCAGGGGACTTAGTAAGTAAGGTTATAAGTCCCCTAATTGGGGTCATAAGTAAATGTTAGGTATAGTTGCCTTATTTATAACCCTAGTTACTAACTCCCATGATCCTTTAAGTAGGGGCTATTTCCCGAGAAGTGGGTCCGGATCCTAAGTGGGTTAGGATCCCAAGTCCCTTGACCCATCGCCACTACGAATTTCAACGGGGATTAAAATGCGCCAGTTATGAATAAGGCGGCTAGACCACTATAAAGCCCTATGAAACCGTAGAAAACTGGCACTATACCACTAATGCAGGCCTTTATAGTACTCTGCCGACAGCGCCCTTAAGCTCTAAACAACCCGTAAACCCTGAACCCTGGCCCCCTAAACAGAGCCTAAGCCTCTAAACCCGTAAATCCCTAATCCCAAGAAAACCCTGAACCCTTAAACCCCAAACCCCAGCCCAAAACCCCTAAAGCCACTAAAGCCCTGAACCCTTAAACCTAAACACCGGTAAACCCCAAGCTCGGAAAACCCAAGCCATAAACCCTTAAGCCCCTAAAACCCTGAACCCCTAAGCCCCCAAACCCCAACGTGTACCAAACCCCCAAACCCCTGAAGCCCCATAAACCCCAACCCCTGCAGTAGAAGCCAGAAAGTTGGAACATCATTAGCCTCATGCCCTTCAAGGAAAGTATAGGGAATCCCAGCATGAATCATCCTAACTTTCTGGGGTTCACTGCACACCCCCAAACCCCAAATCCCGGTGACTGAGGTGAAGTCCCAGTTCCAGCGTTTGGAATTTGGAGCCTGTGGCCGTCTTAAGTTCCTGAAGCTTAAAGCCTACCTAAACTCTGGCAAACTCCAGAGTTTTTGGTTTAGAGCTTAGGGTGGTGTACATAATCTAGAGTTTAGGGTTCATCCTAGGGGTTCAGAGTAGTAAACCCTCAACTCCACGTCCAAACTGGCCCTACACCCTCAATCACTTTGGGGGTGCACGGGCATTCAGGCCCTCTCGTCGCAAATCTCCTGCCCGATGGCGGCTCCAGGCATCGCCCCAGGGAGGGTTCTTCCTCAGATCAGGGTGGAGGGTTGAAGCCTTTAACTTTTGTCTCAACCCGAAACCCTACACCCTATAAACCCTAGCCCTAAACCCTATAAGCCCTAAACCCTATAAACCCTAAACCCAAAGCTCTAAAAACCTTAATTTTATAATCCCTAGACCGTCAACCCTACAAAACCCAGCTGTGTCGGGTTCCGGGAAAAGCCCCAAACCCTAGACCCCCCAACCCCTGGACCCTGATGGGTGGGGGCCGCTCATGGGTTTTGGCCTCAACCCCAAAAGGAATGGTTTGGCTGGCTTGGCCGTCTTAAACGGCGCGGGGTGGGAAAGACAGAAGGTAAAAACCTTCCGTAGACATTCGCCTCTGTGCGAGGCACTCGACACAACCTTGTCGCAATACATTATCGCCTACGCACTATTCTACGGCAAACCCCATCAGCCCTGAACTATAAGCCCTAAGCCCTAAACTTTAAGCCCCCAGCGGTTTCGGGGGCGTTTCTGCCTCACCGTTCTGTCGAGACGCTCAGCCGGGCCGTCGATCGGAGTTGGGTCCTGAACCCTGAGCCCCGGAACCTGACCTTACGCTGCCAAAGCCTCCTTCTTCGCAGGGTTCCCATGAAGTCCTTCGCAGGTTGATAAACCTACGATCCTGCAAAAAGCCGAGCGAGACCTCTATGAAGTCTGGAAATACAAGGGTTTCTGATCCTAAGATCCTGCGAAAAGTAAACCCTAAACCCTAAATCCTAAACCCAAAACCCTAGGTTATGGTAGCTTATTACAAACTCTTCGCCCGGACTCCAAGGTGGACCCTTAAAGCCCGAAGGCCACGCTCCGAAGTGCCAAGCCCCTCACTTCGAAACGGTTCAGGGTTTAGGGTTTTGCTTAGGGTTTGGGGTCTAGTTTAGGGTTTAGTTTAGGGTTTAGGGTCTAGTTTAGGGTTTAGTTTAGGGGTCTGGTTTAGGGTTTAGTTTAGGTAGCATTGAAAGGACCGCGAGAAGCATCCTAAACTCCCTCAAACCGAGATGCAGCCGGGCATCTTTAGGCCGCTGGTTCCAACAGCCAGCGCCATTTACATCATGAGCCCAGAAGGCAGGTTTGTGGGTCGAGTCTCTTACTATTAATACGATTATTACTATTATTACTATTATATATTACTATTATTACTATTATTACTATTATTACAATTATTACAACTATTTTGATTTTGGACTTCTTCTGGGTTTTTTCGTGTCTTCTTTTGCATTCGGGGCTTGAGCCCGGGGTGTGAGGTTGAGGTTTGCAGGTTTAGGGTTGGTTTTTAATTGAAAGCAGATATTACGGTAGCAGCTTTTCGGGGGCCAGCCTCGAGGGATGTCGATCAGATCCGATCCGAGGGATCTGAGTTGAGGGGTTTCGAGTTCATGGCGGGGGAGTCCCAGATTTTCCGGGTGTCACGTCGCCTTAAGCCCTGTAAGCCCTAAACTCTAAACCTACACCCGAAAAAAACCACAGAATCAGAAGTATGAGTTGTAAGGATGGGAAGTCTCATCGAACAAGGCACCCATCTGCCAAGATTTCTTCCGAAGCTTACATCGTGAGCCTGGTGACCCTGGGACCTCCCAAATGGTGTATGATACAAGTTGAGAAGAACCTCCTGCAGTGCGACGCCACCTCCGTCCGAAGGGTTTAGGTTTAGGTTTGGGTTTCAGGAGGGTGTTTAGGGTCTACGGTTTAGGGTTTAGGAGGGTCTGGGGTTTAGGGTTTAGAGCTTTTGGATTTAGAGGTTTAGGGTCTCTACAGCTCCCCTCGAACTAGCGGGTGTCCGGGAGTCCAAACTCAAGAAACGGGTTGCCAAACGCAGGGAAGCTGGGTTGTCTTGGGGCTATATCTTTTTGTATATATATATATATATATATATATGCAGCGGAAAATACTAAACATGTATGTTTCCGTATTACATGATTTTCCCTTCCCTCAGTCCCACAGTCGCATTGGGTCTACGTCTTGGGAAGAAAGAGTAAGTCAGCTCAGTCTACGCACTTGGGGTGCTTCGGAGATATGCCAAAAAGGGCGGACGCATCTCCGCGATGTCGTGGGTTTGATTTTGAAAGCAACCGCTCTGGGTTAGGGGTTTAGGGGATTTAGCTTGGGTTCTGAATCCTCGGGGTCTTTTTTAAGCCTCGATACCCTAAACCGAAGCCCCTAACCTCGACCGGCAATCCTACGCCATCAACCCGAAGCCCTAAACCCTGAGACCCAAACCCTCAACCCCAAGCGCCAGAACCGGACCCATAAACCCCTGAGCCCTGCGATGTCAGACTCAAGAAGCTGCTATTTAACTGTACCTTCGGCTCATACATGCGCAGGACATCTTGCGACACGTGCGTAAGCTGCACCACTGCCAGCAAAAACAGAGCCTGAACGGCACTCTTGGCTGCTGGCGGAGCCAGATCTCCGTGCAATTGGTGTGGCGCCAAAGCTGTATAGAAGTCGCGGCACGTGCCGGCCTGTCAGATCCTCCCGCAGATTGCTACTCTCCGCATCGCATGGCCACTGGCCTTCTTAATGCCGGGCAATGCAGAAGCCCACAGGCAACCACTTGCATGAGAAGCTCATGCATGACGACCCAGCTTCGCAAAGAGCAGGGCCAGGACACGACGTGGCCTGCAAAGCCCAAGAAACCCACGACCTCTTCAGGACCTGAATGGACTTTCGCACAAGAGCCGGAGCTCGCTTGCCACAATGGCTACAGGGCCGCGAGGGGGGAGGTGTCTGCGATGTCAGTGTTCGGAGTCCTCTGGGTCTTGTGTCTGGTCTTGCAGGCCACGTGCATCCGGCTCGGACTCTGTGTGTGTGAAGTAAGCATCCCGCGGCTCAACACAGGTTCCCTTAGGAGTATACGGGCATGTGAGAAGCGATCGTGATTAGGGTTTGGGGTTCAGAGGTTATGGGTTTGGGGGTTTACGGTTCAGGGTTTCGGGTTAGGGTTTGGGGTTCCGGGTTAAGGGTTAGGGCTTACAGGGCTTAGGGCTTAGCGTTTAGGAAGCTTCTACGACAGGGGTTTGGGACTTAGGGTCACTGGCTCCAGCATGTCGGCTCCCCCGAAATCGCCCGAGTCGAACCTGCCAGGGTGGAAGGGTTAGGGGGGTTTAGGGTTTAAGTCTCCTTAAAGGGATCTATAGGGGTTGCTTTAAAGGGATCCATAAGGGATCTACAGGGCTTAGGGTATGCTCCAGCTTGAAGCTTGAGTTCCATCGTCCTTCGCACCATGCTCCCCTTTTGGTGAACACCACCTCAAACCTACGTGATTCCACTGAATTCGCAGCGACAGCCTAAAGGGCCTGAACTCCAAACCCTGACCCGATCGCCGGGTGCCTGCAGGAGCCTGGGCGGCGTCAGATTTGCCTGCGTGGCCCAGAGGTATGCAAAAAGGAGGTTCCAAGAGGAAAAAGTGGTTGGAGGCTTGATCTAGGAACCTAAACCCTAAACCCCAAGCCTTAAGCCCTAATTCTACCTTAAACCCTAAATAGGAAGCTTAACAACGTTAATGCGAAAGCTGAACTTGCTACGACAGGGTTTCAGGCAAGTTTGCATCGGGGCGAGGTGTCGAAGCCATAGCATGGCATGGTCGTAGTGCAAAAACAGCTGTTCAACAAGAGCACTCGTAAGAAGATGCTGTGGTCGGATAGTCATGGCAGTGGGCAAGGTCGTGCTACGTTGCAAGCACAGGTTTAGCAGCAGCGTGTAGAGTCCTAGAAATGCATGCATTGAATGTAGTGGGAATGCTGCTCCAGGAGAACCTCCGCATGACAGAGGCTTCAACAGTTTCAACATTGACGGCGCGGCCTTAAACCCAAGACCCAAAACCCTCCAGGCTCGCGAAACATAGAAGACGGAAACTATATGGTATAATGTATAGTACAGTGCAATATATGTGTATATATATATATGAATATATATATATGAATATATATATATGAATATATATATATATATATATGTGCATGTATAGGCTATACTGTAATATCATAGGTCTGTTCTGCGACAGCTCTGCCAGATACGGCCCCTGGTCATCCGACCCACTGGAGAGGCAGGGCTTGGGGTTCGGGGGTATCCGCGCTTCTTTACCTAGTAGTCGAGTAGGTAACCTTTACCCTTTTTTGGGTAGTATAGTCCCTATATAATCCCGATATACCCAAAAAGGTTAAGCTTTAGTTCCCCATGATACCCGACAAGTAGGTTTGTAAGACTGAACAGGGTTCTACATGGGATGCAGGCGTCCATTGTCGCTCATGCTCATGTGGGGATTGCCGCCCGCGCTGCCATGAATACGATGGCTCTTGCGACGATGAAGAGTAAGATGGTGATGACCACGCTTGGTGACTGGCGATGTTTCTCTTCTTGATGTCATTTTGTATCATCTTGGCGCGTACTGTTGTTGTGAGCATAGAAGTTCTCTCAGAGCCATTATGAGCAAACTGTCAAAAGTGCTGTTTGCGATTTGGGAGGGGAGGGGGTGGGGGGGGGCGTTTGGTCACGTGAATTTTGATTTGTATTTCCCCTTTTGGGCGTTTTCGGACCAACCAGTGGTCAAGGTGTCACGCCTACGGCAGCTTCCTTCATGCCGGGTTTATTGGGTTCAGGGTGTAGGGAAACCGGACATGCAGCAATCTTGTTACATTCCAGCCAGTGCAGCAAGGTCGAAGCAACCCGTCTCAGTGTTGTCACTATTGTCACCATCTCAGTTCTCATGTCCTTGCTGCGGCGTATCGTTGTCATTACTCCTTACTCTTCTAAGCCTGCGTCTATGTTGAACCTGAGTAAGCCGAGTAAGCCCCAACCCCCGAATCCCAAGCAATAAGCCTTAAACGCTAAACCCCCCCAGAATCCCAAACCCTGAACCCAAACCCTTAAATGATATACCTAAACCCACTTAACTCCGATGAATACCCAAAGACCCTACATGAAAAGCGTACAACCTAAACCTCAAAACTATACCCTGAATAACAATAAACCTTAAACCCTAAAGCCTCGCTGGGGGGTCCCTTTATTGCAAATCCAGCAGTAGAATAAAAGCTGCCCTTCTTGAAGGGGCTACTGGGACCAGCTGCACCCTAGATTCCTAGATTAAGGTACTGTCATTGTTGCAGAGCTACTGGGTAATTTCATAAACCCGAACTCCTGAACCCTAGACCTGGACGTTCCACGGGGAAACTAGCTTCCAAGCAGCGGAGGCAGGTGTTGGGGACATCTCCCACGACACGTCAACCCCCTTAAAATTGTTACGAAGTATATGTGAAACGACATTGCGCTGTGTCTTTTAGCGGGTGCCTACACAAGGATAGCCATCTTTGGGTCCTTATAATAAGGATCCTAGTATTTAGGGTGCTACATTAGGGTTTAGGGTTTAGGGTAGCCAGGGTTTAGGGTTTAGGGTCATTAGGGTCCCCTACTTTCGGAAACTCCCATAACTCTTGCCAATCAGATTCAGTTGTCCAGCACACTCGAGCACTTCGGGATCGCAGCTTCGATGGTCTGTCACACTTCCAACCTGCTTGTCTAGTAAGCATAAGATACAACTCTTAAGCAGAAAAGCCCATTGCAGTCAGGCACTCGCTTTCTTTGTTTCCTGAGACTCCACAATATTGTTGCAACCGACGCATGCATAACAAATCCGCCGGTTGTTAAAGGCACTTGCACCCAAGGGATATCAAAACAGACGTCCTGCGTCATTCGAAGCCATCCCAACTGACGGCTCCAGAGATCTTCTGCTACATCAGCACCAGTTTTGACCGGGATACTTGCACTCAAACGTGCTTGTTGCGAGACCTCCTGCTGTAAACCACAAAGTTTCTCACGGAGACCAGACTCAATTCTGTACGCAGACAGAAGCTGGACATGGTTCTGCGTGAAACTCTTGCTCATTTCACGGTTTGCTTGCTTGGCCCTCACTTTGCATGAAGCCTTTGGCTTCCTGTGGTGGTGTTTCAAGTCGGGCGTTACTATAGGCGCCTGAATTTTGGCCTAAATAGTTACCAATACTATTTTGGGGGGCTCCTCATGATGATTATAGTTTAATAGGCCCCAAAACCCTATTCTAATTATCAATGCCCTCTATATTGATTTCAGTGGGGCACCATTTCGGAGGCTCTTGGAAAGGTTTATTCGCCAAGTGCACCGCGTGTCCTTGGTCCTTGTATGCTAGAGGATTTCGATGCGCTCTGGAGACAGATCTCTTTCATGACCGTGACCCGTCATATCCTTCTTTATGTCATGTAATTGGTTCATCCACAAGCGATTCGCTTCCGGATTGCCCCATGCCTGCTTGCATAAACCGTGAACCTGGAACCCTAACCCTACTGTAGGGGTCCTAAGTTTTGGAATAGGGCTGTGGGGTTCATTGGTACAACTATAGTTAGAGTATAATAACCCCAAACCAGGTTCTAATTATGATTTAAGCCCGCATTACTTTAAGCTGCAAGGCCGTCACGCGCCTGAGTGAGAGTTTGCGGAGACAAGCTGGAGCCTCGAAGGATCCCGGTCTGGGGCCTCGAGCTAGGGTTTAGGTCTTTGGTGTTTAGGGTTTAGGTTTTGGAATTTAGGGTTTAGGTTTCAGGTTTTTTTGTGTTCAGGGTTGAGGTTTTAGGGTTTAGAGTTGGCGGATTACTGTAAGGACTTTCTGAAGGTTTGATATGAGTCAGTGCAAGGATTGCTTTCAGGGCTACCTCAAGGGTTAGTGCAAGTCAGCAGACGGATCACGATGGGTTGAAATGTCGATAAAGAGTACCATCATAAGAGTCGGGATACGGGTGGCTATACAGGCTTCGATGATATAGGGGCTACGATGAGGACAAGCTACAGTACTACGAGGATTACTGTAAGGGTGCAGGATTTCTGGTAAATGATGTCCTAGTCGAAGAAGTTTACTGCTCTAAGCTTTGAGCTTGAGATGCCACCTCCCACAGTGCGGCAGTTTCGAGAGCTCTTACACTTCAGGCCAAAAGGAGCTTACCCTAAACCTTCGCCCTAAACCTCGAAGAGGCTGCAGGTTCGGCCTGGATCGGTGGAACAGGTTGGCTAGTCGGACTTCGGAATATTTGGGTTCAGCGGCTGGGCCAGTTTGGGGCATGTGGTTCAGGTTTTGGGCTGACGGTGTCGGGTCGGAGGTTTCCCGAATGTGTGTCGAATGGCACAGCGACGTTCACAGACCGAGAAGGCCAAACTCAGATACTCATGATGAGAATCATGGTTGTGAACTTAACATGACGGCGAGCATGGTTACAAAATGCGATCAGCATACTTAGACACCGTTAGACTTGTGCTTCTCCTTCCTGCGTTGAGGAGGCACTCCAAGACATCCAGCGTAAGGCGCGATGCTCAATACGAAATCCAACAGTCGCAGTCCAGCGAAATCTAACAAGCCCCGCGGAATCCTGGGATGCTTATGTAGTGCTTTCCATAGAATTCTCAAGCGTCCAGGCTTTAACCCTTCTCCCAAATACTCCAAAGCCCAAACGGCCCCAACATCCTGGAGGTTCAGATCACCCCGCAGGCCGTAGTCGCTGCGAGGAGTTTACACGCCTTAGGCTTTAAACTGTAAACCTACGAAAACCTAGAATCTAGAACGTAGGAATTTACACCGCCAGATCCGAGGCAGCCAAAGACATCTTCCGGACGCTTCGCCTTATCACCACCCGGCAAAAGGTACGCTCAGATTTTTTGTCGGGGAGTTTGAGATTTCAGGGTTTTGGCGGTTCAGGGTGTAGGGGTTTGGAGTTAGGGCACCCGAACTTGGGCCCAGCATCATGTAGAATGTAGACGTTGCGTCCTTAGTGTCGGCTCCTTCTAAGCTTTCTCGTTGTCGGTGCCCAAACCACACCCTAAGCTGAACAAACCCCAACGTACGCCCTGACCCGAGATGAAAGACGTCGCTATGTTAGCAGCATTTTCCTGTACATGTATCTCCTAAACCCACAAACAAACGTTCTGTCAAGTCTTAGCTCCTGCACTCCGAATTCAAGAAAAGCCGGCCCAAAGCTCCCTGGCGTTCATCTGTTCAGCCTTTGGGTGTATAAGAAGGCCTCAATAATTAGAATAGGGTTTGGGGTATATTATATTAAAACCATAACAAGGAGCCATCAAACCCTTATTCTAATTATTAAGGACTCTACATGAGCGGTTTGAGTATTTGCCCATACTATGCCTCAGGGTGCCTTACGGTTGATGATATAAACCTTGCACTACCCATAAGAAGGAGTATACCATAATTCCCATAGTTTAGGGTCCTTAAGGTAATGCAGGATTTATATCATCAACAGAAGAACCCTTAAAGGCGGTATATAAGCCTTATGGGAAACCTCATAGAACCCTTATAGGAAGCCTCGTCTCGTTGTAGCAACCCGTGGAACCGAAGGACCCTTTGCCTTATGGCGTTTTTCGATCATATTATACCCCTAAGCCTTCGATCTATTGAGCCAGCCTGCAAGCTTAACTGGCTTCTCGGGAAGGATCTCAGTTGAAGTTGCCGAAATAAGCAACTTGGGTTTAGGGTTTATCCGTGTTCTGCCAATCAAAGTCAAGATTGGGCCCTGCACAAGAATCCAGTAAGCCTTGAACCCTTTCCTCCCTGACTGTTGTACAGGTTTCGAAGCCTTAGGGTCTTCAGGGCTCTGGGTTTCCTGCTTCCGGAGGTCTCTGAGCTCGGGTTTTGGGGTTTAGGGTTTAGAGGGTAATGAGGGTTCACACAGTGAGGGTTTACGGGTCTAGGGGGTTTATGAGGGTTCACGAACTCAGGGCTTACGGCTAAGCGAGGAAACTCCGAGAGTTTGGAGTTGGAGCATGGAAGATCCATGATTCGTGCCGAGGTTCCCCATGCTATACTTGACCGCAGAAGGACATGAGGATAACCATGCCCCAACCTTTTTTTCAGTGTTGCTGGATGGTGTTGGTGAGTTGTTGGGAACCTGTATTTATGTCTTATCCCCCACAATGCATGCCATACTTCTATTTGCTGCGAGGCGCATCAGGGGTCGGAGGTCGGCATCCGTGTTGTGGTATCCGTGCTCACTACGGCTGATGGTATAGATCCTGCATTACCTTACAGACCCAAGGTCGCGGGAGTTATGGTATAATTCTTATTATGACTAAAATTACCCATAAGTAGGAATATACCATAGCTCCCATGAGTAGGGGGGTGGGGTGGGGCCAGGTGCAGGCAAGGGCTGGAGAAGCCGTGATCTGGAGGGGTTTAGGGGTTTAGGGTTTAGGGGTTTACGGTTTAGGGGGTTAGTTTAGGGCTTAGCGGTTGAGGGGGGTTCAGGGGTTTAGGGGTTTTAGGTTTGGAATGTCTTCTTCCATTTTGGCTGGCTCAATCGCGAGCTCGGCGTGGACTGAATCTAAACCGCCATAAGAGAGCGTAAACACCAATAAGAGCCATATGAAGCCTTTTAAGACCCAATCCAAATTCTGCAAAACCACTGAGTTGCTCTGATAAAGAATCAAGCCTCGTGGCAGGCCCTCGGCTTCGCTCGGTGGCTGCAGGTCACGAAGGAGGCATTCCACAACAGGGTTTATGGATTAGGGCCGTTTGGGTTTAGGCGTTTAGAGGTTAGGGCCGTAAGCCCCACAAGCCTTAGCATCTCACCGGGATATGCTAACCACTGCACTCGATTTGGATGGGGACTGTCCTGGAAAGTTGTGGGTTGGAAGCATCTGACGGTCTGACACTGATTTTGGGTTTCAATACAGCAGATTCAACAACAAATCGAGGATTCATCGTATAACAGCTGTATGGCTACAGGCCTGTCGTCGCGGCTGCGAGATTCAGCGACGAATCGAGGATTCATCATATAACACCTGTATAGCTACAGGCATTTCGCGGCTGCGGGGTTAAGGGCCAAACACCCGGCGCAATTAAGGCAGCACTTACGCTAATTACTAACAACCTCTTGATTGCAAATGCAACTTAGGATTGCTATGCAAAACCCCAGACCCTGACCCCCTACCGTAAAAACTAAACCCTAAACTAAACCCTAGAGCCCTAAACCCGAAACCCCTGAACCCAAACCAGCAATCCGAACCCCGACATCCTCCCAGAGACTACATACAAGGGTGCGGTGGTGGTTGTCGAAGTTTCATGGCTGTTTCGTCATTAGTCTTGGCTGAAGTTTGAGTCATCGCATCTGTGCAACCTCGACATGCCTGGAAGACTTTCGACCCCCGACCCTCCCAACTCCGAATTCTAATATAAGGGCCTGACTATAGCAGCTGATTTGGCAAGGGAGCTTCCTTGCAGGAGTACCAAGGGGAGACAGCTGCGTTCACTCTGCTGCAGCTTGGCGGCTGATTGGTTGGAGGGTGGGCTCAGGGATTAACATGCGTGGGAGAAGTGCGCTCGTGAAAGTACGTGGTCTCCGAGCTTCAGCTTGAGGGGGCAACTTCTCCTGGCAGTATAGCTTTGCTGGGCAAGTTTGGGGCCCACCCCCACCCTCCACCCACCCCCATCCCCACCCCCATCCCCACCCCCCCACCACCACCACCGCCACCGCCACCACCACCACCACCACCAGCAGCAGCACCACCACCACCAGCACCACCACCACCACTACCACCACCACCACCACCACCACCACCACCACCACCACCACCACCACCACCACCACCACCACCACCACCACCACCACCACCACCACCACCACCACCACCACCACCACCACCACCACCACCACCACCACCACCACCAGCGCACCACCACCAGCACCACCAGCACCACCAGCACCACCAGCACCACCAGCACCACCAGCACCATCAGCACCATCAGCACCATCAGCACCATCAGCACCACCACCACCACCACCACCACCACCACCACCAGCACCATCAGCAGCACCACCAGCACCACCAGCACCACCAGCACCACCAGCACCACCAGCACCACCAGCACCACCAGCACCACCAGCACCACCACCAGCACCATCAGCACCATCAGCACCATCAGCACCATCAGCACCACCCACCACCATGTTTTCGCTCTGGTTCTGACTGTTTTCTTTCTGTGGTGTCAGAGGCAGCATGCAGTACCATCGTTACATCGTTGTTGCTTTCTTTGGGGGTCTAGGGTGTTTTCGAGTTTATGACAGACGTGAGACTATCATTACTTGTCACCCCAACCTTGGTGCTTATAGCCTTACTTAGCCCAATGACCCTCCAAGCAAGGGTATCCAGCAAGTATTGCCCTAGACCCTGGACCCTATAATTAGTTAATTAGACCCTAAACCCTAGACCGCAGACCTTAAACCCTAAACCCTGAAGGCCGTCAACCTAACTTAAAAAACTGAACCCTACTTGCAGGATCATGGGACGTAGTAACTAGGTTTAAAGATGATGTAACTCTACTTGTAGCTACTTATAACCCCCAAAAAGGGTACTTAAAAGCTTACTTACTAAGTCCCCGGATCCCCCAAGCAAACCCTAAACCCCAAACCCTAAAGCCTAAACCCCAAACCCCAAATCCTAAACCCCAAACCCCAAACCCTAAACCCTAAACCCTAAGCCCCAAACCCTTAGACGAGGACCCGGCTGGACAGCTACGACCGCCTCGTTCACAAACGAAGTCGGGTCTGACTCTCGGTGGGCCCTGGGCTATAGGGGTTTTAGAGGTTAGGGGTTTGGGGGTTCAGGGGTTTAGGGGTTTAGGGGTTTTAGAGGTTAGGGGTTTGGGGGTTTTGGGGTTTATGAGTTTAGGGGTTTTAGAGGTTAGGGGTTTGAGGGTTTAGGGGTTTAGGACTTTAGTGGTTTGGGTTTTGGGGGTTTCAGGGCTGGGGCGTTTACGGCACGTCTTTGGTGCAGGGTTTAGAGTTTGCCTAACCGTCCCAACCCTGAACTCAACCTTCGAACCCTCGGGAATGAATAAGGGTTTAGGGTATGCTTCGCTGTCAGACGTGTGGTTTTTTCTTCAGTCTGGCGGGCATTCTGTCACTGGGTTTTGTTGATCGCATCTCCTGGTGTTTCGTTCAGGGTTTCGGGCTTTCAGGTTTTGAAATTTTGGGGTGTATGGTATGTAGTCTTGCTCCCTGTCCATCAGAAGCTACAACGCAGTGGCCTAGGATGAATCAGGAAGACTCCAGCCAACCACTACGTAGTCCGACTGTGCTTGCTCTGCGGGGCCTCGCGAAAGGCTGAGCATCTCAGATCCAGCAAAAAAGTTCAACTCCGAATCTACCTCCGAAATCCACCCTCAACTGCTACAAGCACGAATTGAATTCTAAACCCCAAACTCCAAACCCCACGCCGCAACTCTAAACCACAATCCCTGAACCCAACCCCCCTGCCCGCCTGTCACCAAAAAAGAAACCCGAAGACCCCCAACCATGCGTCATCAAACCCCGAACCCTGCATGCAAACTCTGCGGGCCCTACTAAAACTTGAGCTGTGTAACAGAGCAGCCGCAAAAAGTGAAAATGTCACCATACTGTCCCGAACCTATCATAGGAAGATACACCTCCTACCCGTCGCACAATTTATTCTACTTACTCAGGCCCCTTTATTGAAATTCTGGTGTTCTGGGTTGTTGTTGCGTGAAGTACCTTGATTTTTGTTGCCGTCAGAAGCAAGCCCGTTGTTTTCACGCACTGCCATCACGTAAGCTTCGAGTTCTCCTGCAAGCCTCAAGACCTAAACCCTAAAGAAAGCATCGCCCACAACCCTGACGCCTAGCCCCTCAACGCCAGCACCTAATTTTATCTGCCGGACCCAGAAACAAGACCTAACCCTCGAACAATCGCCTTGCATGTTACTTCTTATGTTTCCCTCGGCTTAAGCACCAAACCACTACACCCTAACCGCCCGAACTCTTAACTAATTTTCCTTAGGTCCCCGAAGGTGACAGTACATCTTATCCCAAAGCCTAGGAATCGCCCTTGAAGGTGCCGGCCCCCTGAGACCCTCAGCCCTAAGCCCTCCTAAACCCTAACCCCTCGCCCTCCTCAACCCTACTTAGAGGATCATGGGACTTAGTAAGTAGGTTATAATTGGGGTTATAAGTCCCCTAAGTGGGGTTATCCTAATTATAACCTACTTATAGCCTTCAAGTAACCCTCCTAAACCCAAAGCCCTGAACCGACCTAAACCCTAAACTGTAAGCCCAAACCCCTCCTACACCCGAAGCCGTAATCCCTAAACCGCCTAAACCCTCCTTTTCGGAAGGTCGGTGCTTTACTGGCCTCCGCCATGGCTATGGAAGGGAAGCGTGCGGCCTCCCACAGCAGGAGACCTCTGTCCTCCCGGAGAGGGGCCGGGGGGTCAGGGCTTGAGGGCTTTATACGGATTAGGGTTTAGAGATTAGGGTTTAGAGTTCAGGGTTTAGAGTTAAGGGTTTAGGGTTTGGAGTTTCGGACTTAGGGTTTAGAGTTGAGGGTTTAGGGCCCAGGGTTACGTGTTTTAGTGGGGATCAAGCAGTTTGAATGCTTACTCAGTGCACTCACTTTCTGCAGAGTGTCATTGCTGATGTGAAGCATTTCGGCTTTAACCCTAGACTCTAGAACCCCACACCCCAGGAAATCGCATAGTTTCAGGGTTTGAATGCAGTCAGAGGTTTTCGGATCGGGTTTCGAAAGCATGCCCTACTCCCCCCCCCAATGTTGGTTGGGCAAGATGCATGGGCTGAACGTTAGCGTCGTTATTCTTACGAGTGGTATTCGTCTTCTTAGTACGACCACTATGTCAGCGTCACTATGTCTATGTTGAAGTTACGCATATTACCATCATTTCTGGTATTGTTATTGCTGCTTTTCACTATGCTCATTACTACTATTGTAACTACTAGTATTATTCTTCAAGTAATTAACATCAAGCTTATTGTTTTTATGGCTATAGTCGTGTCTGATGGACTGCAGGGGCCTGGATGGAAGGTTTAGTCTGTCGGGTCAAGGGATCTGAATTGAACACTGGGGACAACATGTGTTGATCTTAAGGTGGTTAAATGTCGTCAGAATGCGGCAATACACACCCTAAAAAGTACGATCTTTGATATCAACACCCCTGAAAGCAGGAAGCCATCACATCAGGCACGAATATGAACCACACCGTACTTCCGATTCTTGCGAAGCTGCAACTCACAAAGCCCCTCAGCCCCCATGGAGTTTCTTAGGTCTTTAAGGAGCAAAGTCTAGAGTCGGGGCATTTGCGAGTTGGACAATCCCTGAAGAAAGCTTAGCTTGTAGGACTGCGGCTTTGGGCCGTGCGGGCTTTTTAAACTTTAAACCTCCAAATCTAGGTGTTCAACCCTTTCCGTCTTAAGTGCTAACCCCTAAGCCCTAAACCCTAAACCCTAAACCCTAAACCCTAAGCCCTAAACCCCAAGCCCCGGCCACCCAAACTTCAGTGGTCCAACCTTCGGCCCGAACCTCTAAGCAGGCACCCGGACTGAATAATGTGGTTTAGTAATCTAGGGGCCTTAGTAATTTGAATAGGGTTTTCGGGCCCGCTATCCTGTAAATATAATAAGAAACCCCAAAATAGTATTAATTTAGGCACTATAGTATGTGTGTAGTGTAGGGCCAATGCAGTCCGAAGGGTCCATGTCGAATAGCACGTACTTTAGCCTTAAAGTAGCCCATACCTTGTTCTTTCCGGCTATGGACCTTTAGGGTGATATCGGAGTTGGAAGAAATTGCCAGCATTGTTCTTTAATGCCCCTGGTTGATGGTGCAACTTACTGCAGAATCTCTAGTCTGCTTATCAAGGCCATTTTAGTATGTTTGGACACAATCCTAAAAGCTATCGCTAAGCCCGCACCCCCTTGAATCCCACAACCGAGAAATCTTCACAAAACCTACTACCCAAAACCCTAAGCCCTTAGCTTAAACTCTAAACCTGAACCCTACATCCAAAGCCCGAAACTTCCTGAGCCAAGGAGTTGCAGCTACTATAGGGGCCTTAATAATTAGAATAGGGTTTTGAGTTCTCCTTAATATCATTATAGTTTCATGCACCTCCACCAAACCGTATTCTTATCATTAAGGCCCCCTTTTGCCCTCACTCCTTGTCTCGAGTTCGAGCCCTGACCCCCAAAAGCCCTACAGTCGGCTTAGGGTTTAGGACGATCAGCACAAAAAGCCGCGGGCCGAAACCACAGGCACCTAATCCTACCTTAACCTACCTTTTGTAAGGACTGTTACGAGGAAATCATGATAAGGAGTTCGAAATTGGTGGGGGGTTTTATAGGGTCCAGGTTAGCTCTAACCCTCAATCCCAAGCCCGAAACCCAATTGGTGTGTATGTATATGTAGGGTGCAGGGCTTAAGGATTCAGAGATTGCGTTCGACGGGAGTGCGTCCCTTGAAACTGTCTGGATTCCTTCTGCCATTTTGGCCGCAGCGTAGCATACTCCGCCACTTGGCGAGAGACACAAAGCTCTTGTCCGAGCCCCGGGTTTCTTCGACCCCGCTGAGACACAGAATTGCTGGTACAGACCCCGACTACCTGACAGTCTTTGTTGTACCTCCATCTTCTCTAGGAAAGAACAAGCATCTCCATCCATGCGGACTTGCTGCACAAAGGATATTCTTCGCTTTAAAATAGCGTGGAGTGCGTCGAAATCCGGCGGTTAGTCCCGAAAAAAGGGCACCGGATCGGTTTCGACATCCAACAGCAGCCCGGCAGCAAGCACCCTAAACCCCGAAACCCTAAACCCTAGATTCTCAAGCCAAAAACTGTAGAGGTTGTATGTTTAGCGGTAAAGGTTGAGGTTTTTTGCTGACAGACTGTTCGGTTGATAGAAGAACCTTCGGCTTTAGTAAACTCTCACGCAAAGGCTTGTCGCCCGATTGCTTGTGTCAAACCTGTGACGAGTCCAACAACTCCCTGGTGCTTAGTAGGGAACGGGGAATGGATCCGTATAGCAATCCCTATATATTTCCCAATAATAGTGCCCACAACCCATCCCCCATTCCCTACTAAGCACCAGGGAGATATGTCCAACAAGGCACGGAGCAGGGCCAGCTGCAAGGGTGCAGGGCGGTGACTTTGCAGTAGGCACTGACACCACCACCACCACCACCACCACCACCACCACCACCACCACCAACAACAACAACAACAACAACAAGAGCAAGGGTTCAGGGCTTAGGGTTTAACAGCAACAGCAACAGCAGCAACAGCAAGAGCAACAACAACAACAACACGACCACATCGACGACGACGACTACTGCTGCTGCTGCTACTACGACGACGACGACAACGACTACGACGACGAGTACTACTACATCAGACATTATCACTGCAGAAGAAAATACTACCTCCGCTGCGACCACCACCGCCACCACAACTACTACTGCTGCTACTGCCGCATGGTGCAACCGTTGGTTGTTCATCTCCGAGTTTCCATGAAAACTACCAAAATCTCAATATCCCAGTCAGTTGCTCAGGCATTTTTTTCCAACTCAGCGGGCAGCTCGTCCTGCAGATGGGCAAGGTCGTGTGATGTCGGTTTGTTTCGGCTCCAACAGCATGCGTTGCGTCCCTTGTCGTTAGCGTGCCAGGGGCGTTTCTTTGCGTATCCAAGGCTCAGGTTTTTGTTGTGGATCGGAAGCGCCCGTCATTCGCAAGTATGGATGTACATGTCACACCATGGAATGGTGGATCTGCGATAGATTCAGTGCGGGTGTTTGACTGTCGCGATGTGAGTCTGATTCGCATGGGGAGTCGATATGGGTGGTTGTCAAAATTATGGTCCCCTTTTGGGTACCCTAAATAATAGGTGCCGTATTATAATGGGGGCACAAAAAGGGAGCATAATTTTGACAACCACCCACATCGCAGTATGATGTCGCCCCCTCAATGTCTGTCCGACAGCCTGCCTTTCCGCCTCTCTCGCTCTCGGGATCTGTCTCTCTCTCGCTCTCGCTGTCTCTCTTCGTTTTCTGCGACTTTGTCTGTAATGTAGGGGCCTTATGTTATAATTTCAATCGGGTTTGGGGGTACATCATACGATAATTCTAGTAAGGAACACCCCAAAACCCTATTCTAATTATATACGGCTCCGACATAGCTTTGGTCCCAAGGTGCCACAAAGTCGAGTGCGTCTCGTGGACTTGAAGTCAGCTGCACAAGAAATGTCGGCTTTTCAGTTTAGGGCTCGGGCGTTTGGGGTTTAAGGTATGTTCAGGGTTTAGGGTTTACTTACAGTCTCCATCGTAGCTCCTTTTTTGGTTTAACCAATTATATAGTAAGGGTCCTATAGGGTAACCCAAAAAGGAACTACAGTGGAGACTATTTGACTACTATTGGGGATTTTATAGGGACTACTACAGGGAGCCATTCCCCCATTCCCTACTAAGCGCCAGACAGAAGGGGTGACCCTAAACCCTAAACCCTAAACCAGACAGCAGGGTGAGCTTGTCGGCCCAGGTCCTGTCAGGACTACACTCTACACCTGCGCATCGACACGAAAGTGAGGACGAGCATGCCCTCTCCCTCACTTAAACGATCATGGGACTTAGTAAGTAAGGTTATAAGTACCCCAATTGGGGATATAAGTAATTATAAGTATAGTTACCTTCTTTATAACCCTAGCTACCAAGTCCCATGATCCTTTAAGCACCATTGAGCCGAAGTCTGATCCTTTACCTCTAGTCTCTCTTGTGGTTCCGTTTTTTGGTTCAACCATATTTTCAAATTGAGGATCCCATAAGCCAAAAAAGGAGCTACAATGGAGACGATAGGTAGACTATATCCCGGGATTCAGGCATGAATCCGGAATGTTGCTCCGTAGTCACCAAGCACAAACATGGCTTTGGTATGAATGCTGCAGTACTTGATGGTCTTTTGTGATACATTGCTGTGGGCTGCTTGTAAGAGAGACGTATCATCTTGCAGAATTCACCAGGTGTTCTCAATTTCGACACCTCGCAGAACTGCTTCCCGCTTCATGGGTCGGAACTCCAGACCCCCGGGATGATCTAGAAAGTAGATCCTTTCATTTGGGCCCTACACTACTATAAGGTTACCTTATAGGAACCCCCATTCAGGGATCTACTTTTTCCCATGCGAATGCTGCGATCAGCAACGAGCCCGGGCCTTCCGTTGCCAAAGTCAAATCCCAAGTCGTTCAGCCTGACCCCGGCAGCCTAAACCTTTTTAAATCCCCTAAACCCCAAACGCGAAACCCCTAAATCTTTCTATATCTCCAACCTGTAGCTTCCGAAATCATCTTTCTAACGTAGGTTGGGGGTTCAGGGCTTCGGGGGGGTGGAGGTCAGACTACATG